CAATTTAACCTCTCTCCTTGAAGTTCTTGATGATCTGATAAATGGTTGATTTAGGTGCAATCTTACTAGCAGCAATATCCTTGCCTGTGAAGCCCTTTTTGTGCAAAGCAATGATGACGGCACGTGTTTTCTTGCAGGTAACCATGGTTAACAGAGGAAGAACAATGATTTCAAGCACCACCCTCCTTTTAAAGCTTCCAGTCTGTTATTCTAACTCAATCAGCATGACAGAGTGATCTCCAGCCTTGTCCTCGTCAACACTCTCACCTGTGTTAACGAGAGAATCACTGACATGATGTCAGCTGATCCTTTTGTGGCAGGGCTGAAATGCAGTGGAAATGTTTTTGGGGGATTAAGTTCATTTTCATGGCAAAGAGGGACTTTGCAATTAATTGCAATTCATCTGATCACTCTTCATAACATTCTGAAGTATATGCAAATTGCCATCATAAAAACTGAGACAGCAGACTTTGTGAAAATTAATATTTGTGTCATTCTCAAAACTTTTGACCACGACTCTATGTTATAAGTCCAAAAATGAATGTAGATGCAGATTGCCCCTTTAAATTATTACTAATACCACATCGGTATTCATCAAAGGGCCAATTTTGCATTGTGGTTTGGTTTCCACCTATAAAAAGGCTAAAACAGAAAAAGACCGACATAATCCAAAGCAGGAAGTACTAGCCAAACCAACACACTACCGCCAGTGCCAATACTTGGGAGTGAAATGAAACGCTGCCTTTTTGTCTTTGGGAAAGTACTAAAAAGTGAGAGAAGTAGAGTTGAGTAGCCTGGTCCCAGATCTGTTCATGCTAACCAGCTGCTACGGTCATTGTCGCACCGAACGGCACAAACTGACGTGGGACCAGGTTAGGAGCTGAGGAGAGTGGAGTGTTTCTCCATGGTTCTGTCACATTGAGAAGCCACATGGTTGGCTGCAGCCCAGGCCTCCAGGCAGCTCTGGCCCAAGGAGGAGACATATTCCTGGGATGACCATGGGCTGTGTACTGGCTACAGACACCCAGACTTCCTTTCCCACTGTTTCCACACACACACACACACATACACGCACGCACACCACACACACACAACCCCCAAGTCACACTACAAAACAACACCCACAGCTTTCCTTATGTAACATCAGTGGGTTGTAGAGGAGGGAGGGCTAGAGGGAGGGGACATCATTGATGAACAGAAAGAGAAAAAGAGAGAAAGATTGAGATGAAGAGAGGGAGGGAGATGAAGTGATGTTAAGGGGCCTTAGAGCAAAGATTGGGCTCACAGTTGAGTACCTAAACAGTACAGAGCAAGAATGCAGTCTGGCTCTCAAAGTCAAATCCAGAAGGGTTTTTAAAAAGGAGACATTTTATTTTGTTCAGTGGACATGCCTCACATGTTGTACATATGAGAGTCTACTCTTCTGACATGCCTAATTGGAGCTATAGTCAGTCAGTCGGTCATTGTTTCTCAACACAAGGGTGGGAGTGGCATCATCATCCCATCCCAGTAAACACATCAGTAGTAATCCTGGCTGACTAGCTAGCTTAGGTAGGTAAGGTACACTGTAAAAAACAGAAATATTTTTTAACGGTAACTTACTGGCAGTCAGTTACCGTAAGAAATATACAGTGTGTTACCGTCAATTCCAAATAAAAGTTTATTTGGAATTTACAGAAACATACTATACCTTATTATTTATTTATTTTACAGTAATTTACAGGTAACTAGCTGCCAGTAAGTTACCATTAAAACAACATTTTTTTTTTTTTACAGTGTAGTTACCTGGCGGTTGATTGATTCAAAGATCTTCCCTCACTGATTTTTCTCCTGTTGTTGTCTGAGTTTGGAGCGTCCATGGTTGTTTGTCAGTGTCAATGCCCAAAAGCTTAGCTTGCTACGGCCACAATAGATCACTACACACATCCACTCAACTCAGCTGGCAGTGGCTCAGTGTTTGCAGTCCATAGGATAGGAGTCACACCGCATTTCAGTTACAACTTCACTGCGGTGCATAAAAATCTCCTCTCCAGACCGCAGGGCAGGGGCCATGTGTTTTGAATTACCCCTCGGTTTCTCATTTACAGCATCTCTCCCTCATTTCTCCCTCTCTCTCACCCTCTCCTCCTCCCCTCCTGTTTTTGTTCCCTCCTCTCCTTCACTCTTTCGCACTCTACTCTTCCTCCCCTTCTCTACTCGCCCTCCTTCTCTCACACACACACCATCTCCCCCCCCCTCCTCCCCCTCCTTGTATTGCTCCCCACTCTCTCTCTCTCTTTCCCTCTGTCACTCTCACCCTCTCCTTCCCTCCTCCCCCCCCCCCCCCCCCCTCTCTTTCACATCTCATGTTGTGATAGACCTGTTTAGCCACCATGAAAGCATTCCACTATGCCAGCATTTGAGGATATGGTTGCCCCTGACAACCAAGCTGTCAATAGTGCAGGGGATTTTCCATTAAAAAAAGGATAATGGGGTTATAGAATATATTATAGAATATACACTGAGTTTACAAAACATTAGGAACACCTGCTCTTTTCATGACATAGACTGACCAGGTGAATCCAGGTGAAAGCTATGATCCCTTATTGATGTCACTTATTAAATCCACTTCAATCAGTGTAGATGAAGGGGAGGAGACAGGTTAAAGAAGGATTTTTAAGCCTTGAGACAATTGAGACATGGATTGTGTATGTGTGCCATTCAGAGGGTGAATGGGCAAGACAAAATATTTAAGTGTCTTTGAACGGGGTATGGTAGTAGGTGCCAGGCGCACCGGTTTGAGTGTGTCAAGAACTGCAACGCTGCTGGGTTTTTCACGCTCAACAGTTTCCCCTGTGTATCAAGAATGGTCCACCATCCAAAGGACTTCCAGCCAACTTGACACAACTATGGGAAGCATTGGAGTCAGCATGGGCCAGCATCCCTGTGGAACGCTTTTGACACCTTCTAGAGTCCATGCCCCCAACGAAATGAGGCTGTTCTGAGGGCAAAAGGGGGTGCAACTCAATATTAGGAAAGTGTTCCTAATGTTTTCTACACTCAGTGTATTATAGAATAGAATATAGTAGAATATAATTAAATAAAGTAGAATAGAATATAGTCGAATATAATAACTTTATATCAAACTACAGGTGCATAACAGACAAAGCCCCCCTTCATTTTATAGAATAACAGCCAATGCATAAAGTGATAAATAGAGAGACACTTTTAGTTGGAAGGAGTTCAGTATGGATACCCTACAACTTGAACCCAATGAGGGGTCATGCAAGGCAGTGCTACTGGATCGCTGCTCAGGCAGAATCCCCCATACAGACGTGAGCATGGTTGCAGTCCGCGGGCGCCAATTGAGTGTGACATTCACAACTGCCGCCCCCGCCCCCCTCTCTCTCTCTCTACTGGGAGAAAACACCCGTGCAGAGAAAGGATGGTATGAAATGAAACCGCGAGCCAATTATTATTTCAAAGGATATGTAATTTCGGCTTTTCTGATGTTCTTGTCTCAGACTGCAATACATAGGGAATCTGCGTACGGAATCTGGCGGACACTCATGCTTAAATTAGGAAATATTTATTTGGTAGCATTAATTAACCCGGTCATAATTACATATTAAATATTTGTTCAATAATAAATACATATTATAATTATTCAATACAGTGTTAGCAGTTAATGTAACTGAACTGGCGTGCACAATAAGAAATTATAGGTTTATAGATGCCGCACTCTGGAGGTGAACATTTCATGCTTATCCCAATCTCTCTCAGCAACAGGTAGAAATTTGACTGACGATCATATGCAGCACATGTAAGAGCATCACAATTTGGATAGCTAAAGCACAATGTTTCGTTCTCCGTCAATTGGTATTTATTTAGGCCTTCTTGTTTATTCCCAAAGCAAGAAACATCAATAAAACAATAAAATCGAATTTCTCAAGCAATTTTAAGAATTGTGAATAAAAATGTGGACTAGCAATGTGAAACGATGCTGTATACAGAATAGTATAGATATTCCATTTCGCTAAACCTGTTATAGAGGGAGTGCCTTGGTCCAAGCCTTGTCTAAGTATGTGTAATCAGCACTTATTCAACACTACAATTTAGTCGTTTGATGCTCAAGCCTCACTGACTGAGACACACTGGTGTACCAATGTGGAAGGAATAGGGTATGGTAATAATCTAAAAATCTTACGAAATACGGGAGGTTAAATGTATGTAATGTAATGCATTTATGACAGGGCGTCTTCGTCGCGTGAGAGAAGGAAGACACAAACAGAGCATGCTCCACGAGCCGCATGCGAGGCTTTTTTCGTCTGGAATTCTGCGGGTTTATAAATTATTCATAGAGCGAGCCTATTTTTAAGAGGAGTAATTGCACGCAGCTCGCACAGTCAGTCAGTGTGTTACTATCAGCTATGAGTGCGTGTGCTGTTTTCGCGTGAGCGCTTGAGTGTGCACCAATCTGCAGAGGAAAGGAGATTCCAGACGACAGAAACAGTGAGCGTGTGGAAACTTCGTGAAAGACAGTCCAATTTAATTGGCTTTAATTCGAATATATCGTCCAAGCCTGCCAGCCAGTACAGCCGTTGAACAAGGGAATCAACTGTTGCTGCAGCAGACCGTTTTTTAAACGGACATTAGGCTAGTAACAATTCATCAAGTCCGTGTTGCTGAATCTGGCCATGGGTTTGAGAATGGATTTTTAACCATCACCTGGACCTGGTTTATTTATTGTGCTGCGCGCTGGATGCATGTTGATCATGGTCTGTTCTGATACTGCATAGAGAATACATGCTCTTCCAGAATGATCCTACTCCACGCCTCTCCTGGCTTTTTGATATTGGTTTATCATATTTTTGTATCAGACAGTAGCAGTTGCTTGTAGGCAAGGAGACACATTTGGGCTATTTGAACAATTCCAAAAACAGTTGGAGGATTATAGTGGATTGTTTCTTTCTTTGTGACCTTGCCTCTCCGGCGTTATTCCAGGCGGATAGATGCTAATGATGGAGAATAACGGCATGGATACGCATCATGTTGGAATCAATCATGAATACGAGCTGGAGGGCCGGCCGCGATCATGCACCTGGCCGCTGCCGCCGTGTCCTGAGGATTTCCCTCGGGGAGTGGATGAAGTAAATCGAGGTCTGCCCCTGGCGTCTGTCAAACTGGAGCAGCTTCAGTACAACGTGCCGGCATGCGGCGGCGGAGCATCCGAGGGAAGAGGTGGCGCACCCGTGGAGCTCAAACATCCAGCCGGCGCACCGGTCCCTATAGCACCCGGCGCTCCTACATGCATGTCCGGGGCTGCCCTCGACGTGCCCGGCCAGCTGCGCAAAGCCAAGTCGTCCCGGAGGAACGCGTGGGGAAACCAGTCGTACGCGGACCTCATCACGCGTGCCATTGAGAGTGTACCGGAGAAGAGACTCACTCTGTCGCAGGTTTACGATTGGATGGTGCGCTTTGTCCCTTATTTCAAGGATAAAGGTGACAGCAATAGTTCAGCTGGATGGAAGGTACAGTAACATTGCCTACTTGAAATTCATAATAATTAGCCTCTATATATATGGTGATTGTGTGTGTTGATAGGGGGTAGCCTATAGGCCTGTGCCACTGTCTTTCCATAAAATACATTTTAGACTTTGATCACTTAATTTGGGTTGTGTATCTTAACTACAGACGGTTGCTCAGTCTCCAGCCATAATAATTGATGGCTCTCAACTGATGGTTAAAGCAAATGACTTGTTTCTAACGATTTCTGGCTTTCGCATTTCCCCACATTCACCACTGCTACTCTCCACGATGCAGTCAGTCATGACCAAGTTTACATGCACACAATATTCCGGATAGTTGCTCATATCCCGCTTAAGGTCTTATTCGGGATAAGCTGTTTACATGCACCTTTGATATCCCGCTCACAAGTTTCCCTGTATCCAGTTCATATGGGTTAAATTGAATAGTAACTGAAATATAGACACTAACTGTAGGCCTTTAACCTCTCACATGTATAGTATCAACTCCTGCAGAATTATGCATTTCCTGTTGTAAAATTATTCAAGAAATTTACATTTTGTCTTGGGAACAGGAGTGGAGAAATATGATTTCTTTCTTTCAGCATCTCTTGAGAAAATGCAAATGCGCATGTAATGTGTTATCTTTGACACTGTTATGCAAGCAGACAGTATTTCACCCACATAAAATATGCACCCAGGATGAACTGAAGTCATATCAGAAACGTGTTTAATCTTTTTCTCAACTTTCATTTCCATAAAACCGGTCAAACTGATGACATTTGGACATTTTGCACAGGACCAATCTTTCCACTGTTTTGGAGTTATTGCGTTTTCTCCCCGGTCCCTAAACGAAACAGACAATTTTACCGGTGTTAACTAGATTACTTATGTATTCATTTTAAGATTACTTATGTATTCATTTTATCAATGTAAGACATTATTCTGGTGAGCACTACTTTGTTTAGTCTTCTGGGTCAACAAGTTATGACAGAAGAGAAGCTGCACGTAGGCCTATCTAACTAAAGTTGACAAACAAATGGCCTACCAAATGTCGGAAATTATAATATGGCCTACCAAATGTCGGAAATTATAATATGGTCTACCAACTGTCGGAAATTATAATATGGTCTACCAACTGTCGGAAATTCTAAGCAGAAAGTTGTCTAAATTAGGGGTGAATGTAGTCAGTAGGCTATACGGTCCAGTACAGAGTATCAGCAAAATAAATTATTCTGGAATTATGGTAATCGAACTGTGCAGGTAGCCTACTTTTTGAAGTGATTTGTTTGACAATTAGATGAAAACATCACACAACAACCATGGTATGCGAAACTGAGCCTGCGCAGACTACGAAAAACAACAGTAAACGGGATAAGATATTTACATGCCATAGGATCCCATCTAACACCCAGCATATCCCAGGCATCTTATCCGGGTTTCTCGTAACCGGGATACAAGGTTTTTCAGGTTATTGTAAACGGGATTTGATGTTTATATGCGTAAACTCAAAAACAGAATACTTGAGAATCCCGAGTAAAAACGGGATATTGGTGTGTATGTAAACGTGGTGTGTAGAAAGGGGCGGTGAGTTGGGACTGAAAGGGAGGCGGAGAGGGGTTACTGGGTTCATCCTATTTGAGTTTACAGCCTATAGGCTAAACAGAGCAGAGCAGAGCTAATCAGTACCAATATAAACGCCTTGTTTGTGCTATGGAGGAAAATACTGTCTGCGCGCTGTGCTATGACGCATCCATGTCATGATTGTATTATAAGGAGAATATCTGATTGTAGAAGTGACTGAGTGACGACATGTACGGTTCGAACTCAACCTTGTTTCATCTGGCGCTCGAGCCATATGTAGAGGAGAGTAATAACGGATCACGCGGTGCACAGACAGTCAGGAGTCTGTCGCGGTCAGTTCTGTTCCTTGGGTTCAGACCCGCAGCGTCACTCACGAGCCACGCCGCTTGGCTAGTCTGGGTTAACCCTAAACGAGCTAGAGCTACCCCGCCCCCTTCTATCCATTACGCGCGTTGTAAGATTACGCACGGGCTATGCAATTTGATGCTTTTTGTAACAGTTAGAAAAAAAGCACAATAACGGGAGATGATGACATGAAGTCACTCCATGAAAATAGAGATTATCCTTTAAATTCAAATTAATATGGGTTTAATCTAATAGACGAGAGTTTGTGTAATCTTCTTTAGTTTACCGCACATTTTGTGTGAGGATTATATTGGCACAGTTGTTGTGGAGGGGATTCTTTGTTCTATAGGGCCTATTTGTTCAAGTCATATAGGCCTAGTCCTACCTCTCCAAGCCCTACTCCCATCTAATGGTTGAAAGACAGATTTGAATATTTGCTCATATTTTCCAAAGGGTTTATCAAGAGGATCAATTCTACACAGATTACACTCACCCATTTTATCAGGGCCTTAGACCTTAGGTCATATAGTTTAGCTCTGGTTTTCTTTAGGGTTTGTTTTGAGTCATACACAGAGGTTACACTGTTTAATACACCCTTCATCTTCCTGTCACTTTGTTAAGGTTTTCTGGTAAACACTCACACACACACGTTTTCTTAAATGCCCCTTACCTGGCATCTCGGTCTCTCAAACAATATACGACAATCATAACATTCTGAGAAAGAAAGCGGTATTAAGAGAAATAATGAATCTCAATGAAATCAACATTTAATTTAGGTCTAGGTAAGTGCAGGGGATAGGAGTACTCCAATCTTTATGGTTAGGTTTAAAATGGGATTTAAGGGGCTTAGTTCTCCAGGCCCTGTGTGTGTGTGTGCTAACCAGGGATACCTAACTGTATGCCAGCTCAAATTCTGCCACAGGGCTTTGTGTGTAACGAGGGCTTTGATTGGCAGGTTTGGCAGCGATCTGATAGGCTGAGAGGGCGAAAACAACTTGATTCAATCATAATAACAGTGTTAAAAACAGGCACACATGCACGCACATGTTGGGTTGTAACAGTGGGCAATGGGTTTAATAAGATCTTAAGCACAGAACAACACACACTTGCACAGAAACATACACACACATACATGTGAATGGACACACTCACACACACACACACACACACACACACACACACACACACACACACACACACACACACACACACACACACACACACACACACACACACACACACACACACACACACACACACACACACACACACACACACACACACACATTATCATCCACATCAGTAAATTGTTGATGAGATGAGTAGGATAAGATACGTAGATGGATGGATGGATAAACAGGAGGATGATCAGATCAGATACAGTGGCAGCTGCCGGTTATTAAAAGCAGTCTTTAATACCTGTTGTGAAATGGGTCATTCCACCAATTCTGTGCCTTTTGGGAAGTGTAGCTTGGTCCAAAAAAACATTTGATTTCACCTAATTTTAACATTCTGTTATAAAGAGCACATGTTCACGTTTTCCCATCTAAAAAATACTATAGTAAGTGCCAAATAAAGTAACAGGGTTGACGATTTCATCTTAAATCAGCCATAAATCCTCTTGTGACAGAGGGAATGGAATCTTGTTGTCTGCAACAGGGAGTGGTAATTGAATGCCAGCTTGTCAAATAAAAAATAAAAGCTTTTCTAGCCTGTCTAGATATGTTATGCTCGACCCTCGTAGTTTTCCACCACAAAACACCAGAAAATGGCCAAAAGAGTAGAACTAGCTCACTTGCTTTAAACACTAGCATTTGACTATGAGATATTCAATGTTTCTTTTGAAAAAATATTTTAAAAGGAATAGTTTCAGTTGAGGTGAGGTGTTATATACCGTATACTGTACTGGCCTATGAGTGTGTACACTCTTAGAAGAAATGGTTCCAAAAGGATTCTTCAGCTGTCCCCATAGGAGAACCCTTTTTGGTTCCAGGTAGAACCTTTTTAGGTTTAATGTTGAACCCTCTGTGGAAAGGGTTATACATGGAACCCAAAGCAGTTCTATCTGGAACCAAAAAGGGTTCTTCAAAAGGTTCTCCTATGGGGACAGCCGAAGAACCCTTTTAGGTTCTAGATAGAAAAAACGGTGCTAAGAGTGTAGGAGGTTGAACCTGCTGGGTGGCTGTGTGTGGTGGTTTATCAGTCACACTCCTGTGAGGGGGGACCTGGTGGTGTACTGTATACTGTTTTGTTATGTACTTGACACTGGTTTCATACATGAAGTGGGCCTGTGTGCGTGTGTGTATGTGTGTGTGCAAGCCAACAATTGTCTGAGGCAGGCTACACAGACACTGCCAGCCAGGCAAAAATCTAATGTTCTCATCTGAAGTGATGACTTAGTTACTTTTGACATGTTGAAAGCTTGAAAGGTACACAGAGCGGGCACGGGAGCAAATGGCTCAGCTCTGCTGTCATTCTAAGCAGGAGACAAAGAGAGAGAGAGAGAGAGAGAGAGAGAGAGGGAGAGAGAGGGGGAGAGAGAGCGAGAGGGAGAGAGGGAGACACACAGAGACATAGAGATGCAGAGAGACAAAATGGGAGAGAGAGAGAGACTGAGAGAAAAAGATGGAGAGAGAAACAGAGAGAGGGATCTTCATAGTGGGAGAGAAAGTGGTGGTGGCCCCAGTCCCAGTCCCCAGCTGCTGAACACATTGATCGCTAGCAGACTTAACGCCTGACTGTGATGCTCCAGCCCCTAGCAGAACAGAACAGAGTCGAGGAGAGGCAGAGTATTGGTGGTTAGCTAGCTAGGGAGATGGTGAAACCTACGGTGCAGGCTTAAGCCTGATTCACACTATAGGGCCTAACCGAGCCAAGCCAAAACAAGCTGTACTGGCCTGGTTACACATCCACCATAGTGGCTGGAACCATGTTGTAAAAAGGACAATGTGAAAAAGAAAATATCACAGCCAGCACATTACAGTGTTGATCTAATGGGTTAGGCAGGCCCTGTAGTGTGAATGAGGCATTAGAGAGGTTCCCTGTGCTGTGCCATCCAGGCTGGTTGGCGTGGGCTCAACAGAAAGCCCTCTGCATCGCTACTCCGTTATTGTGATTATCACAAAGACACAGCAAAAGGAGAGAGAGCTCTCGAGTTGGCGGGCTTGGCACAGAGTCCACGGCGGGGGATGGAGGGATGAATGGAGAAATAGATGGATGGATGGAGGAGAGGTGGGGGGTTGTTGTCTAAGAACGGGACTCTAGAGGTCTATTCTACAGTAAAGCACCATTTCATCAGTCTTTTGAATGGAGGGAAATAGATGGAGGGAAAAAGGAGGAGGGAAGAAAAGTGTTGGAAAGGGGGATGGTGTGTGCGTGTGCGTGTGCTTGTGCACGTGCGTGCATATGTGTGTGTGGGCGTGTGTGTCCTTGTGTGTGTGTGTTTATGTCCCTGTGTGTGTGTGCATGCTTGTGTGTGTGTGGATTGCCACTAGTTGTAGACAGTACAGTATTTCATTCAGATGATCCCTTTGTCCCCTCAGTTGATTAAGAGTTGAACTAAAAGCTTCAGGACAGTTGGAGTTGGATAGAGAAAGAAGAACAGTTGGGGGTTTAATCTGAACTCTCTGAGCCTTTAGAGATGGATTGATTGATTTCCAGAGACTTTTGATTGATTGAGAACTCAATATGTTCAATGTGTTGATAACATATGGCAAATAAACTTGAAAACTGAAATGTGAACTTGGTTGTGGAGAAGCAATGGAAAGCCTGCTTCATATGTGCCACTTTTATCCAAGGAGATCCCTGCTGGAATGGAACCCACGACTTTGGCATTACTAGCACCACGCCCTTACCAACTGAGCCAGAAGGCATCAGTCTGAAGGTTAGTTCAGGTCAACAGTTCTCTACAGCAGTGGTTCTCAACTGGTTTTGCCTCGGGACCCAAATTTAACCAGGTTGTCTCAGTCACAACCCAATATTTGCATCGCACATTTGTTTTGCCAAAATGCAATCTGTAAAACTATTTTTAATGCTATATTGATAGTAAATATGACAAGTTATATGACAAGGGTACAACATTCCCACGTTTTTCATTGTCAGTAATTACATTTTGCCCATATTCGTGATGAAGAATGGTAATAAGCTTACTGGTTTGAAACCACAAAATCAACCAATATATTGATACTGTGATTGAAGAAAAATAGTTCAGAGATACAATTGATTGAATAACTTTCTACCACTTTCTACCTGGTTTTAGTCGTTTAACTTCAGACTGAGAATCGCTGCTCTACAGTGAGTCCTCTGTATAGAAACTGTTTGTGCTCTCGATGATCTCAGCGATCTCACTCGACCCAGATAGAATAAGATGCTGGGCGCCACGAAGTGGATGTTGAGCAAGCCATGGAACGGAAATTCCTCTGTGAAAATCGACTCCACACACACACACACACACACACACACACACACACACACACACACACACACACACACACACACACACACACACACACACACACACACACACACACACACACACACACACACACACACACACACACACACACACACACACACACACACACACATACACAAAGGCATGGTGTCTGTGTGTCGTTAAATGTGCTGGGTCCATGCAGCACACACACAGCCTGCCTCTACATGGGGCTCTCTCAGGGTACAGTTGTTTTTTAATCAGAAATGATTGCTTATGGGTACCTTCATGTGTGTGTAAAATATTACTATTATCCGTTTTTATATTCATAGATTTTTTTGCAAAACACGCTATACACTAGGTGTACAAAACATTAGGAGCACCTTCCTAATATTGAGTTACACACCTTTTGCCCTCAGAACAGCCTAAATTCGTCGGGGCATGGACTCTACAAGGTGTCGAAAGTGTTCCACAGGGATGCTGGCCCATGTTGACTCCAATGCCTCCCACAGTTGTGTCAAGTTGGCTGGATGTCCTTTGGGTGGTGGACCATTCTTGATACACACGGGAAACTGTTGAGCGTGAAAAACCCAGCAGCGTTGCAGTTCTTGACACACTTAAACTGGTGCGCCTGGCACCTACTCCCATACCCCGTTCAAAGGCACTTAAATATTTTGTCTTGCCCATTCACCCTCTGAATGGCACACATACACAATCCATGTCTCAACTGTCTCAAGGCTTAAACATCCTTCTTTAACCTGTCTCCTCCCCTTCATCTACACTGATTGAAGTTAATTTAACAACTGACATCAATAAGGGATCATAGCTTTCACCTGGATTCACCTGGTCATGGAAAGAGCAGGTGTTCCTAATGTTTTGTATATCCATTGTTTAGCTGGAATGGAATGTTCGTATCCTGTATATTTGACTGTGATATGTGTTTGTCTCACCTAGCTAGCTTAAGATGAATGCACTAACTGTATGTCGCTCTGGATAAGAGCATCTGCTAAATGCCTAAAATGTAAAATGTTTATGTTTTACATACAGATCTCATATTACTGTATTATTTAATTGTATTTGTTATTTATTTTTAGATATTGATGTCACAAATGTATCATTTGTACAGTTGTTTAGTAAAAATGTAGTAATTTGTTACATTTTAATGTGTAAACCCTAGCAGTACTAGTTATTTCTCTGAGAGTGAGGCGGATATATAGCATTTTTGCCAAATACTTTTTTGCCATTTTTGCTAAGACTGATGGGAGGGAATCAGTAGAGGACAGCAGCACTGTGTGTGTCTGTGTGTGTGTGCGCGCTTGGATTTGTATGATTAATGCTGCTAGCTAGAGGGAGGTTGGAGGGCTCAGCTCTCCTGGATGTTGCAGCTGGACTGCCCAGAGGCATTCTCTCTAGCTACTACAGTACCTTCTGGCTACTATACCTCTGTCCTGGGGCCACCGTACCGTCCTAACCACTTAACTGACCAAGGAGCGGTTTGACCTCTGACCCTGTTCACATTAGGAGCTGTTTCTTCCTGCTCTCTAGCTGCTCTTTACCTGCTTCCTACCCAGTCACATTATTTAGAATATCTGTTGGGTTGTACATCTAGGTTGCCTCTAGTGTAAGCAGGGTCTCTGTAAGCAGATACTGTGGTCAAAATAGAGGAATCACAATGCAATTCATCCATTGCTTTGATGACTGTTGTTTGTTGACATATTTCATAGCAGATGACAAAATTGATTAATTTCACTTACAAATACAATGTTGTGAGAGCAAAATAATGGTGGGATTGTCGAGAAGAAAAACGGACCTCATTAGCAGAACACTTAACTCTTTTATGCCATTATCAGTCACTCATCATGCTAATTATTCTCAATGAAGTATCCTCATGTTCAAGTGATGTTCTGCATCAGTCAGGATACTCTCTGTTGTTGTCAGAGTCTACTGTTCATACTCTCATTGACTCATTCCAGGGTTTTAATGCCACTTTGATTAGCGGTGATGGGAGAAAAAAACTCAATGATTTTAATTGTTTAAATAAATTATGTGCTTGTGGTAAATAGAGAGAAATGAGTTTGACCCCAGTCGATGTCACCATGATTACATTTGTTGAATGTATTTGACAAAAAAAGCCAATACTGCAGCCAATACTACAGCCAAGTACATGCAGTACATACTTTAAAATGTAGTACGATGCTAACATGATGACAGGTGAGGACAGGACATAGCTCTCCACTAAGCTTAGCCTGAGCTACTGTATGTAGTTGGTACATCAGACTCACTGCAGATCAGAATGAAAGACCCATGTTAGCACGTTGGTATACATATTTGTTGTGACGAAGACTGGCAAATATCTAATAATACCTACAGTGCCTTGCAAAAGTATTCATCCCCCTTGGTGTTTTTCCTATTTTGTTGCATTACAACCTGTAATTTAAATGGATTTTTATTTGGATTTCATGTAATGGACATACACAAAATTGTCCAAATTGGTGAAGTGAAATGAAAAAAATAACTTGTTTCAAAAAAGTCTAAAAAATAAATAACGGAAAGGTGGTGCGTGCATATGTATTCACCCCCTTTGCTGTGAAGCCCCTAAATAAGATCTGGTGCAACCAATTACCTCCAGAAGTCACATAATTAGTTAAATAAAGTCCACCTGTGTGCAATCTAAGTGTCACATGATCTGTCACATGATCTCAGTATATATATACCTGTTCTGAAAGGCCCCAGAGTCTGCAACACCACTAAGCAAGGGGCACCACCAAGCAAGCGGCACCATGAAGACCAAGGAGCTCTCCAAACAGGTCAGGGACAAAGTTGTAGCTCAGTTGGTAGAGCATGGTGTTTCCAACGCCAGGGTTGTGGGTTCGATTCCCACGGGGGGCCAGTATGAAAATGTATGCAATCACTAAAACTGTAAGTCGCTCTGGATAAGAGCGTCTGCTAAATGACTAAAATCTAAATCTAAAATCTAAGTACAGATCAGGGTTGGGTTATAAAAAAAGATCAGAAACTTTGAACATCCCATGGAGCACCATTAAATCCATTATTAAAAAATTGAAAGAATATGGCACCACAACAAACCTGCCAAGAGAGGGCCGCCCACCAAAACTCACGGACCAGGCAAGGAGGGCATTAATCAGAGAGGCAACAAAGAGACCAAAGATAACCCTGAAGGAGCTGCAAAGCTCTACAGCGGAGATTGGAGTATCTGTCCATAGGACCACTTTAAGCCATACACTCCACAGAGCTGGGCTTTACGGAAGAGTGGCCAGAAAAAAGCCATTGCTTAAAGAAAAAAATAAGCAAACACATTTGGTGTTCGCCAAAAGGCATGTGGGAGACTCCCCAAACATATGGAAGAAGGTACTCTGGTCAGATGAGACTAAAATTGACCTTTTTGGCCATCAAGGAAAACGCTATGTCTGGCGCAAACCCAACACCTCTCATCACCCCGAGAACACCATCCCCACAGTGAAGCATGGTGGTGGCAGCATCATGCTGTGGGAATGTTTTTCATCGGCAGGGACTGGGAAACTGGTCAGAATTGAAGGAATGATGGATGGCGCTAAATACAGGGAAATTCTTGAGGGAAACCTGTTTCAATCTTCCAGAGATTTGAGACTGGGACAGAGGTTAACCTTCCAGCAGGACAAGGACCCTAAGCATACTGCTAAAGCAACACTTGAGTGGTTTAAGGGGAAACATTTAAATGTCTTGGAATGGCCTAGTCAAAGCCCAGACCTCAATCCAATTGAGAATCTGTGGTATGACTTAAAGATTGCTGTACACCAGCGGAACCCATCCAACTTGAAGGAGCTGGAGCAGTTTTGCCTTGAAGAACGGGCAAAAATCCCAGTGGCTAGATGTGCCAAGCTTATAGAGACATACCCCAAGAGACTTGCAGCTGTAATTGCTGCTAAAGGTGGCTCTACAAAGTATTGACTTTGGGGGGGGTAAATAATTATGCACGCTCAAGTTTTCTTTTTCGTTTGTTTCACAAGGAAAAATATTTTGCATCTTCAAAAGGGTAGGCATGTTGTGTAAATCAAATGATACAAACCCCCAAAAAATCAATTTTAATTCCAGGTTGTAAGGCAACAAAATAGGAAAAATGCCAAGGGGGGTGAATACTTTCGCAAGACACTGTAGTCACGACTCACCAACCCTATTAAAAGAAACCAACATACAGATGGCTATTACACTATTAAATAGACTATGTATAATATTAAGTACAGTATTTAACATATGAATATTCATTATTTTAATTTTGGATGATTGTTGAATCCACCACAAATTAATGCAAATTAAGTAATTCAAGGCACTATCTCTCATTTATCATTTAATAGTTTTCGGTTCGGCTGAACATATTAACATGAATAACAATTCATTCATTCATTAATATCAATATTAATATATTAAGAGACTCTATGTAGAGTTTTGAATGAGTGTGTTCTTTGTGAGGCTGGAAAGGCATGGGGCACAAGGCAGACAGAGGTTATGAGTGCAAGACAGCAACTCAAATTGGATTTTTGTGTCAGTTTGAGTAAAATAGGTCAGGATTCAGAGCTCTTATCATTCTGCCCATGTAATGGCTGACGGCCGGGGAAAGACGACTGATAGCCTTGAATGAACCCAGCCTCTCTGTCTTTCTCCCCCTCTCTCTCTCTATCTCTTTTGCTCCCACTCTCTCACACTCAATCTTTCCCCCTCTCTTCCCTCTCTCACACTCTCTCTCCTCTATCTGTCTTTCTCCCTCTGTCTCTCTCACTCGCTCTTTCCCTCTCTCTTTCTCTCTCTCTCACTCTCTTTCTGGACTGCCCCTTCTCACTCTACTTCTGTAGCCGGAAGGCTCTGAAAAAAAGTTAGAATGTCAGTTTCCCAGTTCCCTCACTAAATTGCTCATTAATACAAAGTGGAAATATGGTTACATAAACCTGAATGTCTGGGAAACAAGCCCATAAAGATGCATTCTAATCTACATATCTCCTCTATCTCCCTCCACTCATCTCTCTTCTCTGTTTCTCTTATTTGTCCATCTTCCTCTCCTTCTCTCCCGCTCCTTCTCTCCTCTCCACCTCTCCTCCAATGTGATAGACTGTTACTAACCCACCTTAAGTCTGACTTCATTTAATCCTTGATACTGTTAGCCATATACTCAGTCTATGATGACGGCCGTGGTGGTCGATCTGTGGATTTAATGGACGCATTCATCTCTCTCTCTAATGGTGTTGTTGAGTGGAAGGTGGCCACCATAAGACGACACACTAAAAGATGAGTTACATCGACAAAGGGATGGAATGAGAGAATGGCAAAGTAAAGGAGGGAGCTAGGACGCTGAGGAGGAGGAGGAGGAGGAGGAGGAGAGTAACATTAAAAGAGGAGGAGGAGAAAGAGGAAGATTCTAGTATGATGGTGGCATGATTTGAAAAAGGAATTAAAAGCATTTTTCATATATGTTTTGTTAAGTTGTTAAGAGGAGTATAGAGTATATAGTGAGATGGAGGACAGAACCATAGAGTATATAGTGAGATGGAGTACAGAACCATGTAGTGAGTTACACAACAGGTGGGTCTAATCCTGAATGCTGATTGGTTTAAACCGCATTCCAGCTGGTATCTATTCCACAACTTACCACCGGCCCAATCTATGACATTCAAATGCGTATTTACTCTGTTCAATCTGACTGCGCAATCCACTGTCTCATCAGCCCAGCCAAGCAATTTATAAACTTGATCTCCACTATAAAAAGCATCAAGACATTATCTCACATTTCTTTTAGACTAACATTTAGTTTTCAACAGCAGAGATTTGTATAAACCTTGCTGTCTGTCTCTCTGACATTTGCAACATTGTTTCAATATTCACATTCGATCTCCAGCTGTCCCATAGTAATGAACGTGTCGGGAGTCGGGACGAGGATCTACCCCCAAGCCATAAGACTCCTGAACAGCTAATCATGGCTACCCGGACTATTTGCACTGCCCCCCCACCCCCACCCCCACCCCATCTTTTTACGCTGCTGCTACTCTGTTAATTATTTATGCATAGTCACTTTAACTCTACCCACATGTACATATTACCTCAACTACCTCAACTAGCCGGTGCCCCGCACATTGACTCTGCACCGGTACCCCCCTGTATATATAGCCTCCCTACTGTTATTTTATTTAACTTCTGCTCTTTTTTCTCAACACTTTTTTTGTTGTTGTTTTATTTTACTTTTTTATTAAAAAATAAATGCATTGTTGGTTAAGGGCTGTAGGTAAGCATTTCACTGTAATGTCTACACCTGTTGTATTCGGCGCATGTGGCCAATACAATTTGATTCGATTTGATTTGACAGGCAGGCAGGCAGGCAGTTTCTTAGCCAGTCGATATCATGAATCAGCTGGCATCATTTTTATGGATATACAGTGAGGGAAAAAAGTATTTGATCCCCTGCTGATTTTGTACGTTTGCCCACTGACAAAGAAATGATCCGTTTATAATTTTAATGGTAGGTTTATTTGAACAGTGAGAGACAGAATTACAACAAAAAAATCCAGAAAAACGCATGTCAAAAATGTTATAAATTAATTTGCATTTAATGAGGGAAATAAGTATTTGACCCCCTCTCAATCAGAAAGATTTCTGGCTCCCAGGTGTCTTTTACACAGGTAACGAGCTGAGATTAGGAGCACACTCTTAAAGGGAATGCTCCTAATCTCAGCTTGTTACCTGTATAAAAGACACCTGTCCACAGAAGCAATCAATCAATCAGATTCCAAACTCTCCACCATGGCCAAGACCAAAGAGCTCTCCAAGGATGTCAGGGATAAGATTGTTGACCTACACAAGGCTGGAATGGGCTACAAGACCATCGCCAAGCAGCTTGGTGAGAAGGTGACAACAGTTGGTGCAATTATTCGCAAATGGAAGAAACACAAAATAACTGTCAATCTCCCTCGGCCTGGGGCTCCATGCAAGATCTCACCTAGTGTAGTTGCAATGATCATGAGAACGGTGAGGAATCAGCCCAGAACTACACGGGAGGATCTTGTCAATGATCTCAAGGCAGCTGGGACCATAGTCACCAAGAAAACAATTGGTAACACACTACGCTGTGAAGTACTGAAATCCTGCAGCGCCCGCAAGGTCCCCCTGCTCAAGAAAGCACATATACAGGCCCGTCTGAAGTTTGCCAATGAACATCTGAAAGATTCAGAGGAGAACTGGGTGAAAGTGTTGTGATCAGATGAGACCAAAATCAAGCTCTTTGGCATCAACTCAACTCGCCGTGTTTGGAGGAGGAGGAATGCTGCCTATGACCCCAAGTACACCATCCCCACCGTTAAAAATGGAGGTGGAAACATTATGCTTTGGGGGTGTTTTTCTGCTAAGGGGACAGGACAACTTCACCGCATCAAAGGGACGATGGACGGGGCCATGTACCGTCAAATCTTGGGTGAGAACCTCCTTCCCTCAGCCAGGGCATTGCAAATGGGTCGTGGATGGGTATTCCAGCATGACAATGACCCAAAACACACGGCCAAGGCAACAAAGGAGTGGCTCAAGAAGAAGCACATTAAGGTCCTGGAGTGTCCTAGCCAGTCTCCAGACCTTAATCCCATAGAAAATCTGTGGAGGGAGCTGAAGGTTCGAGTTGCCAAATGTCAGGCTTGAAACCTTTATGACTTGGAGAAGATCTGCAAAGAGGAGTGGGACAAAATCCCTCGTGAGATGTGTGGAAACCTGGTGGACAACTACAAGAAACTTCTGACCTCTGTGATTGCCAACAAGGGTTTTGCCACCAAGTACTAAGTCATGTTTTGCAGAGGGGTCAAATACTTATTTCCCTCGTTAAAATGCAAATCAATTTATAATATTTTTGACATGCATTTTTCTGGATTTTTTTGTTGTTATTCTGTCTCTCACTGTTCAAATAAACCTACCATTAAAATTATAGACTGATCATGTCTTTGTCAGTGGGCAAACGTACAAAATCAGCAGGGGATCAAATACTTTTTTCCCTCACTGTATACAAAGAAATGTCAGTTGAAAAAAGGTACAATGAAACGAAGTGCAGCTAGTTTGCAGTCTTTCCAGCTTCAGTTTGAAGTGAATGTGTTAGGTGTGTTGTTGGCTAGCTCCTTTCTGAACAACAGTGTCCTGACGAGTGAGCACATTTTCTATGCCAAGCGAAATCGCACCTCATTAGCTCATTGTTATGGATGTATCCAAATAAATGTCACTAGAAAGCAACTTAAACAAATGCAAATGAAGCTACTTTGCTGTTATTCTGGCTGCACTTTTTGATGTGACTGTAAGTTAGTCGTAGTTGGCTAGCAAGCAAGGGATAAGAACGTTGCCAGCCAGTATGGCAATGGAACATTTAGAACGAATGACTGATACATACAGTTGAAGTCGGAAGTTTACATACACTTAGGTTGGAGTCATTAAAACTTGTTTTTCAACCACTCCACAAATGTCTTGTTAACAAACTATAGTTTTGGCAAGTCGGTTAGGACATCTACTTTGTGCATGACACAAGTCATTTTTCCAACAATTGTTTACAGACAGATTATTTCACTTATAATTCACTGTATCACAATTCCAGTGGGTCAGAAGTTTACATACACTAAGTTGACTGTGCCTTTAAACAGCTTGGAAAATTCCAGAAAATTATGTCATGGCTTTAGAAGCTTCTGATAGGCTAATTGACATCATTTGAGTCAATTGGAGGTGTACCTGTGGATGTATTTCAAGGCCTACCTTAATACTCAGTGCCTCTTTGCTTGACATCATGGGAAAATCAAAAGAAATCAGCCAAGAACTCAGAAATAAATTGTAGACCTCCACAAGTCTGGTTCATCCTTGGGAGCAATTTCCAACCGCCTAAAGGTACCACATTCTTCTGTACAAACAACAGTACGCAAGTATAAACACCATGGGACCACGCAGCCGTCATAACGCTCAGGAAGGAGACACGTTCTGTCTCCTAGAGATGAACGTACTTTGGTGCGAAAAGTGCAAATCAATCCCAGAACAACAGCAAAGGACCTTGTGAAGATGCTGGAGGAAACAGGTACAAAAGTATCTATATCCACAGTAAAACAAGTCCTATATCGACATAACCTGAAAGGCCGCTCAGCAAGGAAGAAGCCATTGTTCCCAAACCGCCATAAAAAAAGCCAGATTACGGTTTGCAACTGCACATGGGGACAAAGATCGTACTTTTTGGAGAAATGTCCTCTGGTCTGATGAAACAAAAATAGAACTGTTTGGCCATAATGACCATCGTTATGTTTGGAGGAAAAAGGGGTACGCTCGCAAGCCGAAGAACACCATCCCAACCATGAAGCATGCATCATGCTGTGGGGGTGCTTTGCTGCAGGAGGGACTGGAGCACTTCACAAAATAGATGGAATCATGAGGAAGGAAAATGATGTGGATATATTGAAGCAACATCTCAAGACATCAGTCAGGAAGTTAAAGCTTGGTCGCAAATGGGTCTTCCAAATGGACAATGACCCCAAGCATACTACCAAAGTTGTGGCAAAATGGCTTAAGGACAACAAAGTCAAGGTATTGGAGTGGCCATCACAAAGCCCTGACCTCAATCCTATAGAAAATGTGTGGGCAGAACTGAAAAAGCGTGTGCGAGCAAGGAGGCCTACAAACCTGACTCAGTTATACCAGCTCTGTCAGGAGAAATGGGCCAAAATTCACCCAATTTATTGACCCAAGTTAAACAATTTAAAGGCAATGCTACCAAATACTAATTGAGTGTATGTAAACTTCTGACCCACTGGTAATGTGATGAAAGAAATAAAAGCTGAAAGAAATAATTCTCTCTACTATTATTCTGACATTTCACATTCTTAAAATAAAGTGGTGATCCTAACTGACCTAAAACAGGGAATTTTTACTAGGATTAAATGTCAGGAATTGTGAAAAACTGAGTTTTAGATTTATTTGGCTAAGGTGTATGTGAACTTACGATTTCAACTGTAGATACAGAACAAAAAGACTGAATGGCTGGGTCGCGTCTCTGGCAACCGAACCCATAGAACGAACGACCAGCTGGCTTGGGTAGCAACCCTAGATTTGTGTCGGGACTATATCTTGTGGAAGGATGAAATAGACCGAATAAATTCATCAAAATAACGTTTTTAATGAAAATATGTCAATCATTATTTGAATATGTTGGTAACCCGTTGTATAAAAGTGATAATGCCCTCGTAGCCGGTGTTTGGAGGATATATCTACATTGTCTCAGGCCTAACAACACCCGTGCCAATATATCCTCCAAACACCGGCTTCTCGGGAATTATCACTTAAATAGAGGACAGAACTATTGAGTATAAAGTGAGATGGAGGACAGAACCATAGAGTATGTAGTGAGATGGAGGACAGGACCATAGAGTATGTAGTGAGATGGAGGACAGGACCATAGAGTATGTAGTGAGATGGAGGACAGGACCATAGAGTATGTAGTGAGATGGAGGACAGAACCATAGAGTATGTAGTGAGATGGAGGACAGAACCATAGAGTATGTAGTGAGATGGAGGACAGAACCATAGAGTATGTAGTGAGATGGAGGACAGAACCATAATGTATGTAGTGAGATGGAGGACAGAACCATAGAGTATGTAGTGAGATGGAGGACAGAACCATAGAGTATGTAGTGAGATGGAGGACAGAACCATAGAGTATGTAGTGAGATGGAGGACAGAACCATAAAGGATGTAGTGAGATGGAGGACATAACCATAGAGTATGTAGTGAGATGGAGGACAGAACCATAGAGTATGTAGTGAGATGGAGGACAGAACCATAGAGTATGTAGTGAGATGGAGGACAGAACCATAAAGTATGTAGTGAGATGGAGGACAGAACCATAGAGTCCTCAATAAATAAAGAAGGGATAGTGGACGAAAGAGAGAAAGGGAGCAGAGAGATGGAAGAAGAGAGAGGATGTAAGGCTGTGATTGCAACATTGCTTGACAGAGCTTAGTGCAGGGCTGTCTGTGTAATGCTCTCAAGATGGATAAAAAGAGGCGCTGCGCCTTTCCCTCAGTCCTCTGCTCTGTCACCGCGCTCACTCGCTCTCCCTCTCCTTTTTCCTCTCTCTGACTCTCCTTTTCCCTCTCTCTTCTCTGATTCCTTCGCTCTGTCTTTCCCTGCGATCCCTCTATATCTCACTCTCTCTCTCGCGCTCTTTCTCTCTACTAATGATGTGTTCCGCCTGCCTCTGCCTGGCTGACTAATGCCTACTGACAGCCCCACTCAGGCGGAAAGGCTGTGACTGCCCCTACACACACACACACGCACACGCATACGCACACAGACACACAAACATACACACACGTTTATCCTACATATTTATGTTAATGTGATGCACACACATATTCACATACCGAGTGCATGTCAACTCGCTTCACCACCCATGCATTGGCACTGATAGATCTACAATAGACAAATCACACCCAATCTTTCATATGTCACATGTAAACAGAGATGTATATAGCAGATGACACATGCATACATATACTGTATGTTTTCACATACATGATAGCACTGGCCTAAAGGTTAAATAAACATACTATAGAGCTAGTCTCAGCGCGCTGTAGAAAACCTCACAGCTTTTAGTCAGAACTCTGTCTGGTTACTCACACACACACACACACACACACACACACACACACACACACACACACACACACACACACACACACACACACACACACACACACACACACACACACACACAGTCCCAGTCCCGAGGTTAGGAATGAGGTCAGTGAGCAAGGCTCTCACACAGGACTACACCTCTGGGTTCCCCCCAGTCCCAGTACACACCACACACACACACACGCGCGGTCCCAGGCCGCTCACGGCTTCACGCTCCCCCAGCTGATGGTTCCAGCCCATCCATTAGTCAGTGTTAAGCAAGACCTCTGTGGCCTCTCTCTGCATTTCACTGTGACTGGGTCTCTCTCTCTCTCTCTCTCTCTCTCTCTCTCTCTCTCTCTCTCTCTCTCTCTCTCTCTCTCTCTCTCTCTCTCTCTCACTCTCTCTCACTCTTTCTCACTCTCTCTCTCTATACTGTATATATACAGTGGGCTCCAAAATTACTGGCACCCCTGACTGGCAATGCACAAACAATACTTTAAAAAATATAAACAATATAATTATAGAGATAAACTCAAAATACCAACATGTGAGAAATACTGTACTTTATTAATGTTTCAATGGAACCAACCAAAATCATACAATTATTTAATACAAAATAAATGTAGCCAAAATCAAGGTTTCATAATTATTGGCACCCCTCATTTAGTACTTAGTGCAACCACCTCTGGCAAGGATAACAGCATGGAGTCTTTTCCTGTAATGTTTGACAAGGTTAAGGAACACATTTGGAGGGATTTTGGACCATTCCTCTATGCAGATCCTTTCAAGATCCTTCACATTCTTGGGTTTGTGCTTATCAACTGCCCTCTTCAACTCAGCCCACAGATTTTTGATTGTTGGTATTTTGAGTTTATCTCTATAATTATATTGTTTATATTTTTTACAGTATTGTTTGTGCATTGCCAGTCAGGGGTGCCAGTAATTTTGGACCCACTGTATACATACATATATATATAATATATCTGTCTCTCTCTCTGTCTCTCTGTCTCTCTCTCTCTTTCTGTCTCTCTCTCTGTCTCTCTCTCTCTCTGTCTCTCTCTCTCTCTCGGGTACTGTACTACTCTGTAGCTGTGGAAGTAGAACAGCTGTTTGTAGACTTTGTGAGCAGTATTTGTGACGTATATTCAAATGGGAATGAAGTTGGAACTGATTTTATAACAGTATAGCTAGATTAGTTTAATGTTTTTGTTGAAACAGAAACTATCTTATTTTGTAAATGGATGATACATTTCCATGTTGTAGAAATCATTGGAAGTCTATCAGTGATACTACAGATATAGGATCCTAATTTGATCACCCTGTTGTTGCAGGAAATGAAGTTTGTAATTTCCAATTTAAAATGTATCAACCCCTACAAAAATTTCCATTAATTATAATCCACACAATAATTAACATTTCCTGCAGGATTCCAGGGTTTTTCTTTATTTTTTACTATTTTCTACATTGTGTAATAATAGTGAAGACATCAAAACTATGAAATAACACATATGGAATCATGTATTAACCAAACATTTTTATATTTGAGATTCTTCAAATAGCCACCCTTTGCCTTGATGACAGCTTTGCACATGCTTGGCATTCTCTCAACCAGCTTCATGAGGTAGTCACCTGGAATGCATTTCAATTAACAGGTGTGCCTTCTTAAAAGTTAATTTGTGGAATTTCTTTCCTTCTTAATGCATTTGAGCCAATCAGTTGTGTTGTGACATGGTAGGGGTGGTATACAGAAGATAGCCCTATTTGGTAAAAGACCAAGTCCATATTATGGCAAGAACACCTCAAATAAGCAAAGAGAAATGACAGTCCATTACTTTAAGACATGAAGGTCAGTCAATCCGGAAAATGTCAAGAACTTTGAACGTTTCTTCAAGTGCCGTCGCAAAAACCATCAAGCGCTATGATGAAACTGGCTCTCATGAGGACCGCCACAGGAAAGGAAGACCCAGAGTTACCTCTGCTGCAGAGGATAAGTTCATTAGAGTTACCAGCCTCAGAAATTGCAGCCAAAAGAAATGCTTCACAGAGTTCAACTAACAGACACATCTCAACATCAACTGTTCAGAGGAGAATGCATGAATCAGGCCTTCATAGTCGAATTGCTGCAAAGAAACCACTACTAAAGGACACCAATAAGAAGAAGAGACTTGCTTGGGCCAAGAAATACGAGCAATTGACATTAGACCGGCGGAAATCTGTCCTTTTTGTCTGATGAGTCCAAATTGGAGATTTTTGGTTCCAATCGCCATGTCTTTGTGAGACGCAGAGTAGGTGAACGGATGATCTCCGCATGTGTAGTTCCCACCGTGAAGCATGGAGGAGGAGGTGTGATGGTGTGGGGGTGCTTTTCTGGTGACACTGTCTGTGATTTATTTAGAATTCAAGGCACACTTAACCAGCATGGCTACGACAACATTCTGCAGCGATACGCCATCCCATCTGGTTTGCGCTTAGTGGGACTATCATTTGTTTTTCAACAGGACAATGACCCAAAACACACCTCCAGGCTGTGTAAGGGCTATTTGACCAAGAAGGAGAGTGATGGAGTGCTGCATCAGCTGACCTGGCCTCTACAATCACCTGACCTCTACCCAATTGAGATGGTTTGGGATGAGTTGGACGCAGAGTGAAGGAAAAGCAGCCAACAAGTGCTCAGCATATGTGGGAACTCCTTCAAGACTGTTGGAAAAGCATTCCAGGTGAAGCTGGTTGAGAGAATGCCAAGAGTGTGCAAAGCTGTCATCAAGGCAAAGGGTGGCTACTTTGAAGAATCTAAAATCTAAAATATATTTAGATTTGTTTAACACTTTTTTGGTTACTACATGATTCCATATGTGTTATTTCATAGTTTTGATGCCTTCACTATTATTATACAATGTAGAACATAGTAAAAATAAAGAAAAATCCTTGAATGAGTAGGTGTGTCCAAATGTTTGATTAGTACTGTAGGTCGAATTAAGATCCTACACCTGTATGTCGTTTATATTCCTTTCTGTGATATTCTAAGGAATAGGATTATGAGCGATAGAACTTCTATAGCCTTTAATTAAGTTTATTGTCTAGTCTGAAAAGACTTGAACATTCAGCTATACTCCACCCCTCTGTTACCAATGACACCCCTTCACACATGCATGCACGCACACACACACACACGCACACACGCACACACACACACACACACACACACACACACACACACACACACACACACACACACACACAAGCACACAAGCACACAAGCACACACACACACACACACACACACACACACACACACACACACACACACACACACACACACACACACACACACACACACACACACACACACACACACACACACACACATTCCAGCATCACCATTAGCAATTCATGAGGCTGGTCTCATTAGATGTTAAGTTTTAGCATGGGCCTCTGAAGTATGTGTGTGTGAGTGTGAGTGTGTGAGTGTGTGTGATTCTCTGAAGTATATGGTTGGAGCAACTTATTCATATTTCATAGTCTCCCATTGAGGAGCTAAAAATCTAGTCGACCCGCTTCCACTACAAAGTGCTCTTCTTCTTCTTCTTCTTCTTCTTCTTCTTCTTCTTCTTCTTCTTCTTCTTCTTCTTCTTTCCCTTTCCCCCCTCTTTTCTCGTTAGACTGTATGTCTCCTCTCCTCCAGTTCCCTCTCTCGCATTCTCTCTCTTCAGTTCTCTCACTCCATCTCTCTTCCATTCTCTCTCTCCGTCCCTCTCTCACACGGTGCCCCCACTCAGACCCTAACTCAAACTGACTTCATTGGGATGTCTTTCTTCCAGGAACTGTGGGCACCCGTTCCCCTTCTCCCTGGATCCTAACCAGAGAGAGAGAGGAGGAATGGGTAGAGGTCGAGACGGAGGGGAGTAGGCGAGGAGGAGGAGAGAGAGAGGGGGTGGGTCCCAAGTGAACCTCTCCCAGTGCCATGCTGAGGCGCGGGGTTGTGGTGGGGGTTGGGTGGTTGTTGTGTGTGTGTGTGTGTGTATAGGGGTGGGAGACCCAGGGTTGAAGGGTTGGGGGGAGGGGGGATGCCTGATTGTCAGCCTGGCAGACAGGAGCTCTGCCCCTGAAACAAACCCATGCATGAATAAGTCATTAAAGGCAGTCTGTGTGTCTGAATGAGTGGAATGAACAGAGGACCATCAGATCAGACAGGGGAGGAGAGGAGAGCGGGATGAGAGAAGGGGACCATGGGAGGAGGGGAGAGTCTATGAAAACGAGACAGACGCCACATTCCCTGGCAATGAGAAACAGACAGACGGAGAGAAAGAGCGCGAGAAAGAGAGGGAGATCATTTGATTGGTTGGTACAGGGTGTGAGCATGTGTGTTTGTGTTGTGTGTGTGTGTGTTTGTGTGTGTCTGCGTGTGCGTTTGTGTTTGTGCGTGCATGTTTGTGTATGGATGGTGATGGTGGTGTTAGGATGATTAGAAGACTTAAAGAGTTGGCCTATTGTAGTCTATGTTGTAGTCTCTATTGTAGTCTATTGTAGTCTCTATTGTAATCTCTATTGTAGTCTATTGTAGTCTATTGTAGGCTCTATTGTAGGCTCTATTGTAGGCTATACTGTAGTCTATTGTAGTCTCTATTGTAGTCTCTACTGTAGGCTATACTGTAGTCTATTGTATCTCTCTTGTAGTCTATTGAAGTCAATTGTAGTCTCTGTTGTAGTCTCTATCCTGTTCTTATTGTCTTCTGCAGGAATGCATTTTATGAGATTTGAGCGTGTGCATTTTACATACCAAAACACATTGTCTGCCTCCTGTTGTGAGTATATAAGTAATAAGCAGTGAGAATAATAATTTAATGAGAGACAGAGAAGGAAGAGAGAGAGAGAGAGAGAGGATGGGAACAGTTATGTTTTCTTTCAGGCCAATAAGGCTAATGTGAATGTTGAGACGTAGGAGAGGAGTTCTCTCTCTCTCTTCTTTGCATTACATGACCCTCTCCATGTAACCAACCCCCCCCCCCCATGCCTTTCCAATCAATTTAATAATCTTCTCCCTCTCTTCATCCCCTCTCTCTCCTTCTCTCGCTCTTATTCCTTTGTTTATTACACCACTCAGACTCTACAAGGCATAGTTTTCCATGACGGATGTGTTCTGTATTGTGTGAGTCCTCCTCCAAAGCTCTGTCAGAGCTAGTGCACACATTGTGAACTGAGGGGTTCAGGTTCACTCCAGGACATGGCTATGTGTGTGTGTGTGTGTGGTTGTAGTGTCGTCTTGAGTGCCTGGAACTGGTTGTGGTGGACTCGGCAGCCATGTTGTTCACAAGCTGACAGAGGAACACAACACTTGCTCTTTCAAAATACTTTTTCTTTCAGTGGCTCCCTCTCTTTCTCCTTTCACCTCATACATTTTCACTTCGGCATTATTTATTTCAGCCTCTTTCCTTCTTGTTGTTTGTAGTTCCCCCCCCCCCCCCCCCCCCCCCCGGACAACCACGTGTCATGCAACCAACTGCTTCTCTTTCAACATCTTAAACCATAACCCCCCCTCCAGCCTCTCTCTCTCTCTCTCTCTCTCTCTCTCTCTCTCTCTCTCTCTCTCTCTCTCTCTCTCATTCTTTACTCCATTCTCCCTCTGTCTTCTCTCCTTTCTTTCTGTCCGTCTACTATGGTCATGTCTCATGGGGGAAGAGAGTTGGCAGGAAGCAGGGTTGCTACCATGGCAACAGGAACCCTCCCTCTCCCACAGGTCTCCTTAGCAACTGGTAGCTTGGCATTGTAGTAATGAGCAGACCCAGCGTGCCAGGCTAACAGAGTACGAGAGGAGTGTGTGTGTGTATGTGTGTACAGTGCCTTCAGAAAGTATTCATACCCCTTGACTTATTCCACATTTTGTTGTGTTTACAGCCTGAATTCTATATGGATTAAATTTAGATGTTTTGTCATTCTCACCCATCTACACACAATACCCTATAATGACAAAGTGAAAACATGTTTTTGAATGTTTTGCACATTTATTGAAAATAAAATACTGAAATATCTTATTTACATAAGAATTCACATCCCTGAATCAATACATGTTAGAATCAACTTTGGCAGTGATTACAGTTGTGATTCATTCTGGGTAAGTCTCTAAGAGGTTTGCACACCTGGATTGTACAATATTGTACAATTCGTCAAATTGGTTGTTGATCATTGCTAGACAAACCTTTTCAAGTCATGCCATAGATTTTCAAGCAGATTTAAGTCAAAATTGTAACTAGGCCACTCGGGAAAATGCAATGTCATCTTGGTAAGCAACTCCAGTGTATATTTGGCCTTGTGTTTTAGGTTATTGTCCTGCTGAAAGGTGAATTTGTCTCCTAGTGTCTGTTGGAAAGCAGACTGAACCAGGTTTTCCTCTAGGATTTTGCTAGAATTTATCTAGAAAAACTCCCTAGTCCTTGTTGATGACAAGTATACCCATAACATGATGCAGCCACCAACATGCTTGAAAATATGAAGAGTGGTACTCAGTGATATGTTTTGTTGGATTTGCCCCAAAATTAACGCTTTGTATTCATTTTGTGTTAATTTATTTGCCACATTTATTGCAGTTTTATTGCAAACAGGATGCATGTTTTGGATCCTGTTTGCAAGGTTTCCTTCTTTTCCCTCTGTCATTTAGTTTAGTATTGTGGAGTAACTACAATGTTGTTGATCCATCCTCAGTTTTCTCCTGTCACAGCCATTAAACTCTACAACTGTTTTAAAGTCACCATTGGCCTCATGGTGAAATCCCTGAGTGGTTTCCTTCCTCTCCGGCAACTGAGTTAGTGAGGACGCCTGTATCTTTGTAGTGACTGGGTGTATTGATACACCATCCAAAGTGTAATTAATAACTTCACTATGCTCAAAGGGATATTCAATGTCTGCTTTTTTTATTTTTACCCATCTACCAATAAGGGCCCATCTTAGCGAGGCATTGGAAAACCTTCCTTGTCTTTGTGGTTGAATCTGTGTTTGAAATTCACTGCTCAACTGAGGGACCATACAGATAATTGAATGTATGTGGTACAGAGATGAGGTAGTCATAAAAAAAATTATGTGTATGGTATAGAATTTTTCTATATTTGTGTGTGTGTGTGTGTGTGTTTCTGCTTGCTTTATTAACAGTGTATGACTAACAAAAGCAGTGTGAGAAATAACAAATATCTGAGCCTCTCCAAGGTATGAGCGTGAATTTTCCATTTGCAAACCATTTTCAAGAAAGATAACATTTTTGACACATTTTAATGCATTTCATAGAGTTGACAGTCTGAAGAAAAACTACATTTTAACCATTTAGTGTTGAGGTAGAGCGGTATTTGTATGTGCTGAAATAACGTAGTTCTCTCTTTCTCTGGGTGGAGTTATCATGTTTGAGTTTATGAAGCAGTGTCTTTGTGTTGTGCCTCGTTGTAGAGATCAGGTTTCTCCTCTCAGAGACACGGGGAACAATTAGCGTGTGACATGGTTGATGATTATGTACACATCACCCACCCAGGATTCAGAGGGAGGGTAAAATTATGTGACAATGATATGACATTCTTTGGGCGTAATGTTTTACCAAAGCCTATTGGAAGATGTAGCCTTCTATCAATTGATTTCTTTCTATGGGAGTGTGGTGCCTGGGAGTGTGGTGCCAGGAAAATAACCTCTCACTCAACGTCAACAAAACAAAGGAGATGATCGTGGACTTCAGGAAACAGCAGAGGGTGCACCTCCCTATCCACATCGACAGGACCACAGTGGAGAAGGTGGAAAGCTTCAATTTCCTTGGTGTACACATCACTGACAAACTGAAATGGTCCACCCACGCAGACAGTGTGGTGAAGAAGGCGCAACAGAGCCTTGACAGAGCTTGGCACCTAAAAACAGTTGAAAAACAGCTTCTATCTCAAGGCCATCAGAACGTTAAATAGCCATAACTAGCACATTAGAGGCTACTGCTGCCTATTGAAATCACTGGCCACTTTAAGAAATGGAACACTAGTCACTTTAATAATTTTTACATATCTTGCACTACTCATCTCATATGTATATACTGTATTATATTCTATAATATTCTACTGTATCTTAGTCCATGCCGCTCTGTCATTGCTTGTCCATATATGTATATATTCTTAAATTCCATTCCTTACTTAGATTTGTGTGTATTGCGTATATGTTGGAAATGGTTAGATATTACTTGTTAGATATTACTGCACTGTCGGAGCTAGAAGCACAAGCATTTCGCTACACCTGCAAAAAACATCTGCTAAACACGTGTATGTGACAAATACAATTTTATTTTATTTGAATGGCAACCGTTACTAAGATACCGTATAAGATGAGGGACTCCTGGAAAGGGGAAAGCATTCTGGAGCTGTCCATTTGGTATTTTGTTATTTTTATATTTTTGAGTCATCTGATTCTGAAACGTTAGCCTCAGTTTGAACATATATCTGATGGTGTAGAGTAGTGAAGTGATGGTCTCTCCAGAGACACAGTGCCAGGTGTCTCGGTCTTTAGGTGTGATGACGTGGCCTGTTTCTCAGCTCTCTCTCTCAGGTGTTATGGAGCCTTGAGCTCCCAAAGGTGTCTCCTCGCTTCACCTGGACTCAGCTTTCTCTGACTGAGCCATGAGCTCCCACTGGTGACAGAGGTGTGAGCTCCCAAAGGTGTCTCCTCTCCTCGTTCCACCTGGCATGGTGTGAAAGCTCAGGGAGGCGCTTCGCTGTTCTCCAGGTGGGATTGCCTACAGGTAGATATTAGGAGTAGTAGTGGGTGGGAAGAGGCCTGGCTGTAAACCCATTATTGCCACTCAGAGCCCAGAGCTGGCCGCGATACCCTGACGACTGGGCAGCACAGTAACAGCCCAGCGCCACAGTAGCTGGAACGCAGGGAGGACTTTCCGATCCCCTGCCCCGCTTTCAGATGCTCCTTAATCTGCCCAGCTCTATTTTTATCTTCCCTCATCCTCCTCTCCCTCCCGCCCCTGGGCTCTCCCTCTATATGTCCACTCCTTTCCTCAATGTCCATCCCTCCATCCGTCCCTCCTCTCTCAGAGCAGTTTTCAGGCCGGTAGCTCCAATTAGTAGAGGGTCTGGTGGGGATTGGGCTCGCTGTCTGCCCCTAAGATTTACAGGCTCCCATCCTGCTTACCTCTCCCAGATCTCCCTCAGGTTAGCCTCTCAGTTCCCTCCCTCTCGCCCTTCCTCCCTCCCTCCCTCCCTCCCAACTCTCCTCCCTCCCCAGAGCAGTGTAGGGGGAGTGAAAGGCCTGCTGTCACCTGAGGGGCTGAGGAGCGTAGGGCTGGCATGGCTCCAGTCCCTTTGCTGCCTACAACACTGAAGAAGACAAGATGATTGGGACTGTACTTCTCTCATAGACAGACCTCACCACTACTACATCAGCTAGAACCTTAACACTTCTGGAACAGTTACTACTTCTACTGCTGCTATTATTACCACTACCATTACATTCCTCATCAATCTACACATAATACCCCATAATTTGAAAATGTATTAAAACAGAAATATTACATTTACATAAGTATTCAGACCCTTTGCTATGAGACTCGAAATTGAGCTCAGATGCATCCTGTTTCCATTGATCATCCTTGAAATGTTTCTACAACTTAATTGTAGTCCACCTGTGGTAAATTTAATTGATTGGACATTATTTGGAAAGGCACACACCTGTTTATATAAGGTCCCACAGTTGACAGTGCATGTCAGAGCAAAAAACAAGCCATGAGGTCAAAGGAATTGTCCGTAGAGCTCTGAGACAGGTTTGTGTCGAGGCACAGATCTGGGGAAGGGTACAAAAATATTTCTGCAGCATTGAAGGTCCCCAAGAACACAGTGGCCTCCATCATTCTTAAAGTTTGGAACCACCAAGACTCTTCCTAGAGCTGGCCGCCCAGCCAAACTGAGCAATCGGGGGAGAAGGGCCTTGGTCAGGGAAGTGAACAAGAACCCGATGGTCACTCTGACAGAGCTCCAGAGTTCCTCTGTGGAGATGGGAGAACCTTCCAGAGGGACAACTATTTCTGCAGCACTCCACCAATCAGGCCTTTATGGTGGAGTGGCCAGACGGAAGCCACTCCTCAGCCAAAAGGCACCTAAAGGACTCTGTCTATGTGAAACAAGATTATCTGGTCTGATGAAACCAAGATTGAACTCTTTGGCCTGATTGCCAAGCGTCAACGGTGAAGCATGGTTGTGGCAGCATAATGCTGTGGGGATGTTTTTCAGCGGCAGGAACTGGGAGACATGTCAGGATCGAGGGAAAGATTAACGGATAAAAGTACAGAGAGATCCTTGATGAAAACCTACTTCAGAGTGCTCAGGACCTCAGACAGGGGCTAAGGTTCACCTTCCAACAAGACAACGACCCTAAGCACACAGCCAAGACAACGCAGTGGCCCAGCCAGAGTCTGGACTTGAACCCGATTTAACATCTCTGGAGAGACCTGAAAATAGCTGTGCAGCGTCGCTCCCCATCCAACCTGACAGAGCTTGAGAGGATCTGCAGAGAAGAATGGGAGAAACTCCCCAAATACAGGTGTGCCAAGCTTGTAGCGTCATACCCAAGAAGACTTGAGTCTGTAATCGCTGCCAAAGATGCTTCAACAAAGTACTGAGTAAAGGTTCTGAATACTTAAGTGATTTCAGTTTAAAAATATATATATTTTAATGTCTAAAAACAGTTTTTGCTTTGTCATTATGCTGTATTTTGTGTAGATTGATGAGGGAAAAAAATTAACATTTTAATCCATTTCAGAATAAGGCTGTAACGTAACAAAATGTGGAAAAAGTCAAGGGATCGGAATACTTTCCGAATGCACTGTATATGATATATACGGTCCTCTGTAGCTCAGCTGGTAGAGCATGGCGCTTGTAACGCCAAGGTAGTGGGTTCGATCCCCGGGACCACCCATACACAAACAATGTATGCACGCATGACTGTAAGTCGCTTTGGATAAAAGCGTCTGCTAAATGGCATATTATATTATATTATTATATAGGCACATTACGCACGACAAAAAAACATAAAAGCCCGTAGATGTAGCTAGCTATATGCGCTCTTGGGTAAATAAATGAAAATAGCCTGTATTATATGGACTGGAATTACGCACATCATTTAAACCATGATAAAGCAGAAAATAACATGCGTTCTACAAAGTTACAAGTATAGGCTAGCGAATATGATTACAATTTTGAAATATCATTGGGCCTATTTGTATACATAGTTGGTAGGCTGATGCATACAGTACCAGTCAAAAGTTTGGACACCTACTCATTCCAGGGTTTTACTTTATTTTTACTATTTTGTACATCGTAGAATAATAGTGAAGACATGACAAACTATGAAATAACACATATGGAATCATGTAGTAACCAAAAAAGTGTTAAACAAATAAAAATATATTTTATATATGATATTCTTTAAAGTAGCCACCCTTTGCCTTAATGACAGCTTTGCACACTCTTGGCATTCTCTCAACCAGCTTCATGAGGTAGTCACCTGGAATGCATTTCAATTCACAGGTGTGCCTTATTAAAAGTTAATTTGTGGAATTTCTTTCCTTCTCAGTTGTGTTGTGACAAGGTAGGGGTGGTATACAGAAGGTAGCCCTATTTGATAAAAGACCAAGTCCATATTATGGCAAGAACACCTCAAATAAGCAAAGAGAAACGACAGTCCATCATTACTTTAAGACATAAAGGTCAGTCAATCCGGAAAATGTGAAGAACTATGAAAGTTTCTTCAAGTGCAGTTGCAAAAACCATCAAGCGCTATGATGAAACTGGCTCTCATGAGGACCGCCACAGGAAAGGAAGACCCAGAGTTACCTCTGCTGTAGAGGATAAGTTCATTAGAGTTACCAGCCTCTGAAATTGCAGCCCAAATAAATGCTTCACAGAATTTAAGTAACAGACACATCTCAACATCAACTGTTCAGAGGAGACTGCGTGAATCAGGCCTTCATGGACAAATTGCTGCAAAGAAACCACTACTAAAGGACACGAGCCGGCCGAGGGAGCGGGAACCTGTCGAGCCTGACTGGCCGGCCGAGGCGTGGGAGCCTGATGAGCCGGCTGAGGCACCCCCGGTTCCTTCGTCCGCTGCTCCCGGACCCGACTTCACCAACCCCAACCAAAAAAAAAGTCCTGATGCTTCCAATATTGGTGTCTGTGACGATCTTGGTTCGATAGATGCTGGGAGACGGGAAGCAAGTACAGGGTGATAATTTAATAAATAAAAGACATGGAACAAAACACGGACAGCGTCTGGACAGGGGAAACGAAACAACATCAATGCAGACACAGGGATCAAACTGGGGAACAGACAGATATAGAAGGGGCAATCAACAAAGTGAAGGAGTCCAGGTGAGTCCAATGAGCGCGGATGCGCGTAATGATGGTAACAGGTGTGCGTAATGATGGGCAGCCTGGAACCCTCGAGCGCCAGGGAGGGGGAGCGGATGCAGGCGTGAAAGACCTCAACCTAATTTAAATGGTTTGGGATGAGTTAGACCGCAGAGTGAAGGAAAAGCAGCCAACAAGTGCTCAGCATATGTGGGAACTCCTTCAAGACTGTTGGAAAAGCATTCCAGGTGAAGCTGGTTGAGAGAATGCCAAGAGTGTGCAAATCTGTCATCAAGGCCAAGGGTGGCTACTTTGAAGAATCTAAAATCTAAAATATATTTTGATTTATTTAACACTTTTTTGGTTACTACATGATTCCATATGTGTTATTTCATAGTTTTGATGTCTTCACTATTATTCTACAATGTAGAATATAGTAAAAATAAAGAAAAACCCTTGAATGAGTAGGTGTGTCCAAACCTTTGACTGGTACTGTATATACCTTTCATAATATTTCCCCTAATGCTATTAGCCTACCTCCTCTTTCTCTATTGTTGCTTCATTCCTCCCTCGCTTTCAACAGTTAAATGAAATAAGTTTTGTTGTCCTTATCTTCATCATTCTAATGACATCCTTAAATAATATAGGACTAGAATTAGATGCAGAAGGCTTTCTTTTCTTTTCTCTTCACGAATATTGAATGGTTATGGGTCTGAATAAATAACTGCTATAGCCTACCACCATCGCAAGTTCTCTCTTCTTTCTTACCTGTGAGTTCTATTGGCTGCTGTATTTAACATTCAGCAAAAAAAAAAGCTTGCTTCCCTCTTCGAATTGTCTATTGCTATAAGAAATGCTAAGAAAATAATATCCAGCAAGCTATTCTAGTCTAGCTTTTCCTGCATGGGACTCCAAGAGCTAAGGAGCATTTTTTAAGGAGAGGCCAGCGGAGCACAGGTGCTTGCGTATTGCGCAAGAGACAGAGTCTGTAAGTATGAAGCTTATTATGCATAACCCATCATGAATTAGCTAAATATAAGGCTAATACTGCATTGAATGTATTACCTGAAAGAGGTAGGCTAGGACATCTATATTTAGGGCTATATCAATCTAGAACAGGATGATCTATTTTGGATGCAATTTGAATGGAGTTGATGGAGAGAGAGAAAGACGATATTCGAGTAATAGGCTGCTTTAAAACTGCTGCTTTACAATTAAAAAACAAGGTGGCCCCCGAAAGCCAGATGAGATGGGTAAATTAGACGTGCATTTGGTCATTATATTACTGTAGCATAGACTATGCTGCAGTAAATGTAGGCCTACCTGTCACAAGGAAAAAAGTGACCATGATGAGATGTGAACTGCGCTCCATACTGAGATGGGCTGTCTGTTCCCACCCTGATCGTTGATTCATCATGCAGAGGCCGTAGAGAAGCCCGATTTATACATAACATACAATTTAACAGTTCCATTTCATGCCATGCTGTTCATATAGATACTTTATTATAATTAACTGGTTTCTCACAGTTATTTATCTCGGGAAAAGGGAGTGGTTTTGGGCGGTAAATCCCAGTAAATCTAGGTAACCAGGTTCCCGCCATTCAACCCTAACTACTACTACTGCTATCTCTACTATGACAGCCAGTGGCGATTTTAGCATGTAAATCTTGGTGGGGCAAACCATTTTTTGGGGGGCTGGATGCATGCCAGCAAAGCCACTACACAACACAACACTAAACAATACATTAATTGCACTATAACGGTGACAAACGGTGCCCACAAACTGTTAGGGCCTCTATAAAGCTGTCCCAACAGCAGAGTCCCAACAGCAGTCCCAACACCTTACCACAGCTACACCTGGCTATCAGCGGAGCCTTGTCTGGCAGCGAAACAGTTCATTCAGCCTCATTTACTGCCTTTAAAAAAAACATAGCTGATATGGCTGACTTGCTTAAACAAATGTGGTTTCTACTGACAATTGAGATGTACAAACTATAGCATAAGGGGACGACAAGCGGATAAGAGGCAATCCTTAATTTCGATTAAGACATTAATGAGCGAGCTAGGACGGACATAGTCAATATAACTATTTGTTCAGCACTTTTGAAATGTACAGCGACAGAATTCAGAACATGAGCCTTTCTTACAGTGTTCTCCCTGTACACCAAATCAGAACTGCAGGATAAATAAAGGGGACATATAAGCAGACAATGAAAGCTCTTACAATATTCAATGATTACATTTCTCTATAACAGGTTATAGGCTACATGTGCACCACCAAGTCAGAACAGTAGGCGAAATTAAGAGGGGAAAATAGACCAAATGATTAGGGGCTACTAACAGCTTACTACACAACATACACGTAGTATTACTTTCTTAGCTACAGTATACATTTCTCCCTGGCATATTACATAATTTATGCAGCAGCATACAATACATTTTTGGACTCACCTTGTTGTGCTGTGCTCACTTGAACAGGAAGGTGGCGTGGCGGTCCTCCATGGGTAAATTTTGTCATCAAACTTTGTCATCAAAGTCTGGCATTCTCTCGATTTATGGTGCTTTCAAGACATCTGTTCTTCAGGTTGTAGCTCTAGAAAGCGTCCCGAGTTCCTGACTTACAATTCCGAGTTGGATGACCGTTCAAAGCGTATTTTCCCAGTCGGAGCTCGTTTTTTTCCTGAGTTCCCAGTTGTCTTAAACTCACTGAGGTCAGATTTCCCAGTTCTGAGTTAACAGTTGTTTTGAGCACGGCAGAAATCATGCTGGATTGACAGCATGGCCAATGTTGAATGTTTATCATTTTAAGCTTGGAAAAGAGAACCTTAAACTGAGAATTGGGAACAGACCACACACCCACTCCACTGAATAGCAGGCTAGTGATTGCTTTGCAATGCTTGCATTAAGCCACTGATTCCTTCCAAACCACTCATTGTTGAATTTGCGATTTCCAACTTGTTGTGTAATGTTTATGTCCAATGGCCAATGAGCACCGATACGTTTTATCTATAATTTCTCTTCATTATTTCTCTTCATATGACAAGGATTTGCCAGTAGATTGTTGACTTGATTCATGATAATGACAGCTAGCTAAGATTTTGAAAGTATGATGTTGACGTGATCAGTCCAATCAAAGCTACTGTAGATATAATGTGATTTGACGTCATTTTATCTGTGGCCAATGACCTTGAGCCTTATTGGATGGGCACTTCTAATGTAACTCTATGGCAAAACCCAAGGGGCTTGAATTTTCGAGCTCTACCCTTAGATTTGGCGGTGACGTAGTGTCCCCATGAGTGACAGAACACTGAGCCAATCACGGCGCAACTAGAGAACATTACCAACCCCTACGCTCCGTATTTTCCGCTGGCTGCCCCACCACCACAGAAAGCACTGAGCTAGGCTGAAACACCTGCATTTTGGACCTGCCTTAATCAAGAAAGCAAAAAAGAGAGGCTTTATTAACTCAATGTTTAAAAAAAAAATGGTATTACATTGTTTGCAAACTGACATGTGACACTCCCACTCCCACCATAACCCATGTATCTTTAGAACAACCTTGTATACTGCTGCTTATGTTGACCTATTATTATTTCCCTTCAATCTACCAGAGCATTGTATCGTTCTCTTCTCCCCTCCCCCAACTACACCTTCCCCTTCTCTTCTCCATCACCTTCTCTTCCCCGTCTTACATTAATCCATGAGCCTCCCAGTCCTTTATTTCCCTTCAAAGAGACAAGCACTGCCCGTGACATCAGTCACAGGAAGTGGGTCTTTAGCGTCGACTGATTCCCATCGATCGCCTCCAGACAGGCTTAGCAGAATAGAGGCAGGCAAGAGAAGAGGGGAGGAGAGCCATTCCAGCACAGCACAATCTGGCTCCTGCTCTCTCTCTCTCTCCCCGCCTACAGAAAGAAAGCCTCTCTCTCCACAATGAACACATGCAGCCGTCAGCAGCTTTTATCGTCTCCCTCCATGCCTCCACTGCTGCTTATGATCAAATAAATGCTATGGCACGGAGTGTAGACTAGAGAGATACTACCCATTGACAGCACCGACCGTGCATAATGACACACACGCACACACAGTTTTGTATTGCTATCCTTGTGGGGACCAAATCATTTATTCCCATCCAAAATCTTATGTTCCCTAACCCCTAACCCTAAATCTAATCCTAACCCTAACTTCTAACCCTAATTGTAACCCTAACCCATAAGCCTAAAATAGCATGTCCCCACAATTTTCCTTGTTTTACTATCCTTGTGGGTACCAGAAGTCCTCACAAGGATAGTAAAAAAAAAAAACACACACACATTGACAGGGCAGACTGTGCATAATGACGGTTAATAATGGTTGGAGCATGAATAAATAATGGTTGGAGCATGGTGTAAAATCAACCGCTTTTCTCTAGTCCTACTATAATGCTCTGAAGAACGCTCCTTTAGAACAATCCCCCGGAACACTCAGGGATAGTATGGACTGTCCGTATTCCATCTAAACCACATCTAATAGAACACCGTCCACATGCACAGTATGTAAAACGGAATGCTCTGAATTCTAGAACACTTCGGAATGCGTAGCGTTAAAATGTGAAAGCAACAGAAAAAAATGGAATAAAGTTCCAGTGAATTCTCTAAAGAACCTCCCTGTTCCACAGAGTTCTCCACTGAGGATAGTGTGGTAAAATATAGAATATAAAAACGTCCAGTCGGTGAGATGCAGAGGCAACAACCTGTTCCACACGTTTTCAGACCTGTGACAGGGAGAGTAAATCAACATGGCTTCCTTGTGGTTTTCAGTTCAGCCTACAGTACAGTACTCTCTGATGATTAGCTAGTTCCTCTGTGCCAAATGTTTATAGCTAGTACCAAAATCAAGCAAATGCAGGGTATATAAACCAAGGAGAAAACCAGCAAACTAGATGCTCCCAGATGTTTAAAGAAGTGCCCATAGATAGTGGTCCAAACGATGCTTGATTAAAAATGGATTCCCTGTATATCAACAGCTCTTCAAAACACAATATACTGTACGAGCTGTCTTTCTTGTACATAATGATCTTAGAGTGATGTACGTCCCAATCAAACCTTATTATTGGAAGGTACTGTCCGTATGCCAAAGGGACTATCTGTCTGATTGGGATCAGTCTGTCTGCGGTGAAACTGTGTCAGCCTCCTTGACCCGGCATTAAGGAGACTCTTCATCAAGGCTTCTTAAGACCTTATTGTGGCATCAGGATCAATGTCCAATAAATAGGATTGAGCTGATTGGCCAGAGATCACTGGTGTCTCACGGCATTGCATTCTCTTCACAAACAACTGTAGTCTGGTCAGTGACCATACAGTTAAAGTTGGCAAGACAGCACAAACAGATCTGGGACCAGGCTAGAACAACTGTTATATGTTTCTGTAGTTGATTCCCCACCAGGATCAGGACTGATAACATAGAGACATGGTACATCTGTTAAGATATGGCTGCATACTGATTTGAAACTGGCAGTTGTGTAACGCTAGCAGTGAAAAACATGTTTTCCTCAGAGAAGAGGTATCAACAGGGACCTCGTGACGTGGATAGGTCAAGCTGTCCATATGTCCAGCCAGGCCAGTCAAGCAACCTGCGCTTGTTTTTTGTTCCCAGCGGTTTACCAATAAAACCGTCCCACAATTTCTGCCACATATCATCGTCATAGTCACTGTTTCCACTCAAAATCGTCATGATCCTACTGATCGACCAATCCGTGTCCTGTCGCTGCGGTGTTGGGGTGAGCCCCAGCTAAGGAGTAGCCCAGATTAAAGCAGGATTAGCCTGGGATTGTCCTGGATTACCCAGGCTGGAGAGGGATTAGGTATGACTGCCAGTTTTAGGGAGGGGTGGGGAGAACTGTGTGTATTGAGGGAGAGTGTGTGTGTAGAGCGAGAGAAAGAAAGAGGGATGGAGAGAGAGAGCACGAGCGAAATAGAGAGAGAGAGCGAGAGAGAGAGCCGGCCGAGCGTGGTGAGTCTGGGTCAAACTCAGTTTCTATTTATACTCCAGACTACACGAGCTGCAGCAGTGCTAACCTGGAAACACACACATACACACACAAACTAGTTCTCACAGTCTCACGTCAGAATTAGACGTTCATCCATGTTTCTCAAATGTAAAATTTCAAAGTGTTTAAGGTTAAGTTTAGGCATTAACTCCACATTTTTAAGGTTAGGGTGAAGTTTAGGCATTAACTTTCAAAATCTTAAGGTTAGGCATTAACTCCAAATGGTTAAGGTAAGGGTTAAGGTTTGAGATAGGCTTAAAACAGAAATCTCAAAAACAACTTTCTATCGCTCGATTAAAAAATGCAACCATTGGCACAAGAAGCATCCGCCATCCTTGTCCACAACGTCCTAGCAAATCCGAAACCTACTTGAAGGTAACAGTGCTCACTGTTGCCCCTAGTGGCCGGTTTCCACGTCATCTCCAGACGTCCTCAGACATGGATGGACGTCGAATACTGACTTGTATCACGGTTGACCTGGCGGAACACACAGCAGCAGTGCTAGCCTGTTATAAAACTCACCCTGCAGAAGTAGAACTGTAGAGACCTGAAGATGAGGTCACTCACCGTGCTATCAGTCACACTCAATCTCTCCCAGTGTGTGTGTGTACGTGTGTATGTGCGTACGTGTGCTTGTGTCACACTCAATCTCGCCCAGCCTCAGGCAAGGCCTCTCGTCTTCATGATAGAATATCTTTGTGACAAGTTAATATAGAGACTACTGTTAATACAGTATGGCAGTGAGACATGACAAGGTGGTTGAACGCCCCTAAACTAGTTCATTTGCATCCTGGTTGTGCAGAATAGTGTTAACCCCAATGGACAACCCCAATGTTTTTTTATGTATGTGAAAATCAAACCTCCTTTTAAGTATAATATAATTTATATTATTATATTATAGGTTCACTATAGGTCCCAGTAGCCTCTTGCAAGCTTAGATAAATGATTCATGTAGCGGTCATCAGTCTGGTAATACAAGGCTATGGTCCCAGTACTCCTAGTAGGGTAGTAACAGTGATAGTGGTGGTAGTATGTTCTACCACACTTGACTTGCTAATCAGTGAGGCTGACTGTTCCACATAGGTAGCGATAGTTTGCTAGGTAGTGAAGAGTGGTGATTGAGGCTCCCTGGTGGATAGGAACACAAATCTGTCAGACTCAGATAAAAACCTATTTGGAGTAGCTGCCTTCCCTGCCTGCAGCATCATCAAACAGCATCTGACTGCCACGCACGCGCGCACACAACACAACAGAGCACACGCACACACTTAATCTCTCTCTCTCTGTCTCTCTCTACTCCCTCTCACGTTTGGTTTACTCTGTTGCCATCGTTACGCCCAGCTGGAGCCCGCCGTCATGTGAGGAACCTGTCAGGGCGTCTCTCTCAGATCACCTGATGTGGGTCAATCTCGTGTTGGCCTCGCTCGCTACGCCATCATTCAATTTGCCTTTGATTAAGTCTGTTACTATACTCACTACATGTAGTGTATACCACCACCACATCTCTACTGCTGTGTCGTGGGTGTGTGTGTAGAAATGCATCTGGCTATTGCATCAGCGTGTGCTCATAACTGCTCATGTAATTTGTCAGCTTTGCATTTTCTGCTGAGGACCCCTCGGAGGGTGGAAAGGACATAAATACATCTCTTCTCCGATTTCCACTCCTCTGTAAAAAGACTGGAGTCAAAGCAGCATGTTGTCAGTGGTGGATTGGTGGATGGGGTAAATTTGCCTGTTAGAAGTCCCTGGGGGGGGGGGCTCTGGGGGCTCTGGGGGCTAGGAAATTGTAGGTAGGACCCAGCATTGATTTGCAACCCACTTAGCTGCTGCATTTTCCTGGAGATGTTTTGTGAGGATCGGCAGGACACTATTATCTTTTGTTCAGGTGTTTTGCATTCAACACAATACCAACCAACAAAGAGACGTAGCTAATCTATTTAGTCGGGAGGGAGTCCAATTTCCACTGGTAGGGCCCATAGTTTAGGGTTAGGAGGGGAACATATACACTGACAGACAATATATTGATTCCACAGGGAGGTGGGTGGTTAGGAGACTCTTGAATATAGATTTATATCTCCCATTTAATTTGTTTCTGGGTATTTGGTTGCTTTTCCATGTGAATGGGGGGAGTGGAAATTGTGTCACCAGAGGTGACTAGAAAATAGATAGGTGGATGGATAGATGGGTGGAGAGAAGGAGAGAATGAGAGACTGCGTGATTAGGAGACGTGGAGTGCCGAAGAGAGAGAGATGAATGGTAGAGGAGAGCAGCAAAATTGGACAGGAGGCAGAGGAGAGAATGATGGAGAGAATGAGAGAATGAAGATCGAGAATGGGATGAGATGAGGATACTTGTGAGCTACATGTGATGAGGGAATAAAACCAGGTGGGGGAAGTAGATTATAGACGCGACAATATTAGCCTTAGTACCCTTAAGATTGTAATGTTAGATCACGTGTATGGCCAGTTCATGCACCACAATAGATCATACTTTCTTACACAAAACGTAACTAGCTAGTTACGTTAAGTTTAAAACCGCCAAACTTTGGGAAACTGGCACGCTACTCATGTTCATTTGCATTGCACAGACCAAGCGTAGTATGGTAAGATGAGGTAGCCAGATTTCAGACAGGACAAAAACTGCAGTTAGCTACGCTACGTTTCCTCGAAGAACAACCAAGACCACACAAGCCATAGCGGAGCAAACAAATTGTTTTGTTAAAAGACAGTAAGCTAGTTATGAACCGCATATAGTAAATGGTTCAACCCCAAACGCACATGTAAACAGAACCTCAGTTGTGCACGCTAGCATCAACTTACCAGACTCGAGTTACAGCATCACTGTTTCAAACGCATAGGTTCTTTCTCCTGCTGTCTTGTTATACTTATAATCCAAGTTTGTGCTGACTGATCAACAGTGTCAAGTTCACAGAAAATCTGAAGTCGCCATGCACAAGTAAAAAGTAGTCAGGGGGCTACACACGGTGCACCAGGGTAAAACAACAACATCAAAATCACTGCATATATGACATGCTGTGTTGCAGCCTGGTCTCATCTTCTTCTTCTTCGATGAGGTTTAACAGCGGTTGGCATCCAATAAATTTTGCATTACCGCCACCTACTAGACTGGATTACAAAAATAAACAAAAAATAAATGACCCTTCCACCCTTCTAACACTACACTCACAAAAAAGTACTATATATATATTAAAAAATAACACCACCCTACTCCACTATTTAAATATATTTAGTCCTACCTCAGTCCAACAACCTGAAAGGATGGGACACCACCACTTAACACACCCTGTAACTCTTCTGATGTCAAGTCTCACACACCCAAATACCTCTCTGCAGCTGCCACCACAACCTCAATTTTCTGCGACTTATGTTCCATCCCTGCAGTACAGTTGATAACCATTGCAAGAAATGCTAAAAATCCAATCTTACTGAAACATATATCACTTGTTGGCCTATCCCTCTGTACTGGTATAGATCTACTACTCACACCACTCCTCTCAGGATCCCTCCCCCTTGACCCATGTTCTTCTACTTTCCTCACTGCCTCAGCATATGACAACTTCTGCACTACTCTAACCCTGGAAACCTCAACCTGCCTCTCTCTCACAAGACATTTCTGATCCCCAGCCCCATGGGCACCCCTACAATTAACACATACCACTACTTTCCCCAATGCTACACATTCCTTTGTCTCATGCCCTTCTGCGCACTTCTCACACCTCCCTCCTACACACTACTGCCACATGCCCATAAGCTTGACACCTGTAACAACGTAATGTATTCGGCACAAAAGCTCGTACAGGATAACTTATACATCCTAACATCACTTTGTCGGGCAAAGACTCAAAAGAACAGACAATGACTCTTCTGTTTCACCACTCACGCCACCCTGTCTGCGTCGCACCAAACGACGAGAATCACAAACACCGGGAATCTTCCCCTTCAGTTGGTAAACTTTTACATTTACCGCTACCCCAGTAATCACTCCTTTCAATGGCGCCCTTTTCTTGAGCGCAAAACAATTTACATCTCTTGACCCCATTTATTTAACGCGGAGCGCCTGCTCCCTCTGACGAGCAGAAACACAAACAATTATCACAAGACCACTTCTGGTTACCCTCACCAATTCCACAGCACCCAACTCTGTTTTCACCCACCCTGAAACCACAAATGGATCAGCCAAAAGACAAGGTTCCACTTTTTCCAAAAACTTCTACTGTCACATACTCATCTTTATCCTGACCCTTGGTGCAATCCTCAGGCTCCAAGAACTTCACCACACCTACCACCGATACTTCGCCCTAATTCACTTCCATTTCTCCTCCTGTCTTCAGCTCACTCTGCTTATACTTTTGAAAGGGATTAAAACTGATACAAATAGTGGAATCATGCCATATTTGGAGTAGCTAATGCTAAACAAGGTTGGGATGTTGACAGACCTTAGCCATGGTATATTGGCCATATACCACACCCCCTCGGGCCTTATTGCTTGATTTTTATGTTGTATAATAATGTTGCATAATCACCTTCCGGTGTAAAAACCATGGAAATTAAAAACAAAAAACAATGTTTTAAGTGAGAATAGGCATTGGTCTGAAGCCAAAAAATAAAGGAAATTCACGAGCACCACAATGTCTATTCCACCCATGCTCTACCTAGGTTTTCCAGCACACAGCTTTTACCTACTACAGTAGCTACAGTGCATTCGGAAAGTATTCAGACCCCTTGACTTTTTCCACATTTTGTTATGTTACAGCCTTATTCTAAAATGGGTTAAATAAATTGTTTTCCTCATCAATCTACACACAATACCCCATAATGACAAAGCGAAAACAGGTTTTTAGAACTTTTCGCAAATGTATTAAAAATAAAAACAGAAATAACTTATTTACATAAATATTCAGACCCTTTGCTATGAGACTCAAATTGAGCTCAGATGCATCCTGTTTCCATTGATCTTCCTTGAAATGTTTCTACAACTTGATTGAGGTCCACCTGTGGTAAATTTAATTGATTGGACATGATTTGGAAAGGCACACACCTGTCTATATAATGTCCCACAGTTGACAGTTAATGTCAGAGCAAAAACCAAGCCATGAGGTCGAAGGAATTGTCCGTAGAGCTCCGAGACAGGATTGTGTCGAGGCACAGATCTGGGGAAGGGTACCAAAACATTTCTGCAGCATTGAAGGTCCCCAAGAACACAGTGGCCTCCATCATTCTTAAATGGAAGAAATTTGGAACCAGAGCTGGCTGCCCGGCCAAACTGAACAATCGGGGAGAAGGGCCTTGGTTAGGGAGGTGACCAAGAACCCAATGGTTGCTCAGACAGAGCTCCAGAGTACCTCTGTGGAGATGGGAGAACCTTCCAGAAGGACAACCATCTCTGCAGCACTCCACCAATCAGGCCTTTATGGTAGAGTGGCCAGACAGAATCCACTCTTCAGTAAAAGGCACATGACAGCCAGCTTGGAGTTTGCCAAAAGGCACTTAAAGACTCTTGAGACCATGAGAAACAAGATTATCTGGTCTGATGAAACCAAGTTTGAACTGCCAAGTGTCACGTCTGGAGGAAACCTGGCACCATCCCTACGGTGAAGCATGGTGGTGGCAGCATCATGCTGTGGGGATGTTTTTCAGCGGCAGGGACTAGGAGACTAGTCAGGATCGAGGGAAAGATGAATGGAGCAAAGTACAGAGATATCCTTGATGAAAACCTGCTCCAGAGCGCTCAGGACCTTAGACTGGGGTGAAGGTTCACCTTACAACAGGACAATGACCCTAAGCACACAGCCAAGACAATGCAGGAGTGGCTTCGGGACAAGTCTCTGAATGAGTGGCCCAACCACAGCCCGGACTTGAACCCGATCGAACATCTCTGGAGAGCTGTGCAGCGGCGCTCCCCATCCAACCTGACAGAGCTTGAGAGGATCTGCAGAAAAGAATAGGAGAAACTCCCCAAATACAGGTGTGCCAAGCTTGTAGCCTCATACCCAAGTAGACTCAAATCAAATCAAATCAAATTTCAAATCACATTTTATTTGTCACATGCGCCGAATACAACATGTGTACAGTCGTGTTCAAAAGTTTTGAGAATGACACCAGTATTGGTCTTCACAAAGTTCGCTGTTTCAGTGTTATGAGATATTTTTGTCAGATGTTACTATGGTATACTGAAGTATAATTACAAGCATTACATAAGTGTCAAAGGCTTTTATTGACAATTACATTACGTTTATGCAAAGAGTCAATATTTGCAGTGTTGACCCTTCTTTTTCAAGACCTCTGCAATCCGCCCTGGCATGCTGTCAATTAACTTCTGGGCCACATCCTGACTGATGGCAGCCCATTCTTGCATAATCAATGCTTGGAGTCTGTCAGAATTTGTGGGTTTTTGTTTGTCCACCCGCCTCTTGAGGATCGACCACAAGTTCTCAATGGGATTAAGGTCTGGAGAGTTTCCTGGCCATGGACCCAAAATGTCGATGTTTTGTTCCCCGAGCCACTTAGTTATCACTTTTGCCTTATGGCAAGGTGCTCCATCATGCTGGAAAAGGCATTGGTCATCACCAAACTGTTCTTGGTTGGTTGGGAGAAGTTGCTCTCGGCGGATGTGTTGGTACCATTCTTTATTCATGGCTGTGTTCTTAGGCAAAATTGTGAGTGAGCCCACTCCCTTGGCTGAGAAGCAACCCCACACATGAATGGTCTCAGGGTGCTTTACTGTTGGCATGACACAGGACTGATGATAGTGCTCACCTTGTCTTCTCTGGACAAGCTTTTTTCCGGATGCCCCAAACAATCGGAAAGGGGATTCATCAGAGAAAATGACTTTACCCCAGTCCTCAGCAGTCCAATCCCTGTACCTTTTGCAGAATATCAGTCTGTCCCTGATGTTTTTCCTGGAGAGAAGTGGCTTCTTTGCTGCCCTTCTTGACACCAGGCCATCCTCCAAAAGTCTTTGCCTCACTGTGCGTGCAGATGCACTCACACCTGCCTGCTGCCATTCCTGAGCAAGCTCTGCACTGGTGGTGCCCCGATCCCGCAGCTGAATCAACTTTAGGAGACGGTCCTGGCGCTTGCTGGACTTTCTTGGGCGCCTTGACGCCTTCTTCACAACAATTGAACCTCTCTCCTTGACGTTCTTGATGAGCCGATAAATGGTTGATTTAGGTGCAATCTTACTAGCAGCAATATCCTTGCCTGTGAAGCCCTTTTTGTGCAAAGCAATGGTGACGGCACGTGTTTCCTTGCAGGTAACCATGGTTAACAGAGGAAGAACAAATATTTCAAGCACCACCCTCCTTTTAAAGCTTCCAGTCTGTTTTTCTAATTCAATCAGCATGACAGAGTGATCTCCAGCCTTGTCCTCGTCAACACTCTCACCTGTGTTAACGAGTGAATCACTGACAGCTGGTCCTTTTGTGGCAGGGCTGAAATGCAGTGGAAATGTTTTTGGGATTAAGTTCATTTTCATGGCAAAGAGGGACTTTGCAATTAATTGCAATTCATCTGATCACTCTTCATGACATTCTAGAGTATATGCAAATTGCCATCATAAAAACTGAGACAGCAGACTTTGTGAAAATTAATATTTGTGTCATTCTCAAAACTTTTGACCACGACTGTAGACCTTACAGTGAAATGCTTACTTACCCTAAAAAATAAATAAATAAAAGTAACAAATAATTAAAGAGCAGCAGTAAAATAACAATAGTAAAATAACAATAGCGAGGCTATATACAGGGGGTCAATGTGCGGGGGCACCGGTTAGTCGAGGTAATTGAGGTAATATGTACATGTAGGTAGAGTTATTAAAGTGACTATGCAAATAGAAAATGAACAGAGAGTAGCAGCACTAACTAACTGTAAGTCGCTCTGGATAAGAGCGTCTGCTAAATGACTAAAATGTAAATGTAAAATGTTTTTAGTCCCAGGGTCCTTAGCTTGGTGATGAGCTTTGAGGGCACAATGGTGCTGAACGCTGAGCTGTAGTCAATGAATAGCATTCTCACATAGGTGTTCCTTTTGTCCAGGTGTGAAAGGGCAGTGTGGAGTGCAATAGAGATTGCATCATCTGTGGATCTGTTGGGGCGGTATGCAAATTGGAGTGGGTCTAGGGTTTCTGGGATAATGATGTTGATGTGAACCAAGACCAGCCTTTCAAAGCACTTCATGGCTACAGACGTGAGAGCTACGGGTCGGTCGTCATTTAGGCAGGCTACCTTAGTGTTCTTGGGCACAGGGACTATGGTGTTCTGCTTGAAACATGTTGGTATTACAGACTCAGACAGGGAGAGGTTGAAAATGTCAGTGAAGACACTTGCCAGTTGGTCAGCGCATGCTCTGTGTACACATCCTGGTAATCCGTCTGGCCCTGCAGCCTTGTGAATGTTGACCTGTTTAAAGGTCTTACTCATATCGGCTACAGAGAGTGTGATCACACAGTCATCTGTAACAGCTGATGCTCTCATGCATGTTTCAGTGTTACTTGCCTCGAAGCGAGCATAGAAGTAATTTAGCTTGTCTGGTAGGCTCGTTTCACTGGGCAGCTTGCGGCTGTGCTTCCCTTTGGAGTCTGTAATAGTTTGCAAGCCCTGCCACATCCGACGAGCATCGGAGCCAGTGTAGTACGATTCGATCTTAGTCCTGTATTGACGCTTTGCCTGTTTAATGGTTCGTCGGAGGGCATAGCAGGATTTCTTATAAGCTTTCGGGTTAGAGTCCCGCTCCTTGAAAGCGGCAGCTCTACCCTTTAGCTCAGTGCGGATGTTGCCTGTAATCCATGGCTTCTGGTTGGGGTATGTACGTACTGTCACTGTGGGGACGACGTCATCGATGCACTTATTGATGAAGCCAGTGACTGATGTGGTGTACTCCTCAATGCCATTGGAAGAATCCCGGAACATATTCCAGTCTGTGCTAGCAAAACAGTCCTGCAGCTTAGCATCTGCTTCATCTGACCAGTTTTTTATTGACCGAGTCACTGGTGCTTCCTGCTTTAGTTTTTGCTTGTAAGCAGGAATCAGGAGAATATAATTATGGTCAGATTTGCCAAATGGAGGGCGAGGGAGAGCTTTGTACGCGTCTCTGTGTGTGGAGTAAAGTTTTTTTTCCCTCTGGTTGCACATTTAACATCTCGAGGCTGTCATTGCTGCCAAAGGTGCTTCAACAAAGTACTGAGTAAAGGGTCTGAATACTTATGTAAATGTGATATTTCCGTTTTTTATTTGTAATACATTTGCAAAAATTTCTTAAAACCTATTTTTGCTTTGTCATTATGGGGTATTGTGTGTAGATTGATGAGGGGAAAAAACAATTTAATCTATTTTAGAATGAGGCTGTAACGTAAGAAAATGTGGAAGAAGTCAAGAGGTCTGAATACTTTACGAATTCACTGTATGTTGGTATTGTACATCAAACTATGTGTAGGCAGGTTGCTTATGATTCACACCTTCTCAAATTGCCTAATTCATACTCTTCCGAGAGATAATGGACTTTACAGTGTCCTGCTATTAAAATGATGTATACCGGTGTATATACACTAACGTTCAAAAGTTTGGGGTCACTTAGAAATGTCCTTGTTTTCGAAAGAAAAGCAATTTTTTTGTCCATTAAAATAACATCAAATTGATCAGAAATACAGTGTAGACATTGTTAATGTTGTAAATGGCTATTGTAGCTGGAAACTGCTGATTTTTAATGGAATATCTACATATGCGTACAGAGGCCCATTATCAGCAACCATCAGTCCTGAGTTCCAATGGCACGTTGTGTTTGCTAATCCAAGTTTATCATTTTAAAAGGCTAATTGATCATTAGAAAACCCTTTTGCAATTATGTTAGCACAGCTGAAAACTGTTGTGCTGATTAAAGAAGCAATAAAACTGGCATTCTTGAGACTAGTTGAGTATCTGGAGCATCAGCAATTGTGGGTTCGAATACATGCTCAAAATGGCCAGAAACAAAGAACTTTCTTCTGAAACTTGTCAGTCTATTATTGTTCTGAGAAATGAAAGCTATTCCATACGAGAAATTGCCAAGAAACTGAAGATCTCGTACAACGCTGTGTACTACTCCCTTCACAGAACAGCGCAAACTGGCTCTAACCAGAATAGAAAGAGCAGTGGGAGGCCCTGGTGCATAACTGAGCAAGAGGACAAATACATTAGAGTGTCTAGTTTGAGAAACAGACGCCTCACAGGTCCTCAAGTGGCAGCTTCATTAAATAGTACCCGCAAAACACCAGTCTCAACGTCAACAGTGAAGAGGTGACTCCAGGATGCTGACCTTCTAGGCAGAGTTGCAAATAAAAATTAAATATTAAGATGGGCAAAAGAACACAGACACTGGACAGAGGAAGATTGGAAAAAAAGTGTTATAGACAGACAAATCGAAGTTTGAGTTGTTCGGATCACAAAGAAGAACATTTGTGAGACGCAGACCAAATTAAAAGATGCTGGAGGAGTGCTTGATGCAATCTGTCAAGCATGGTGGAGGCAATGTGATGGTCTGGGGGTGCTTTAGTGGTGGTAAAGTGGGAGATTTGTACAGGGTAAAAGGGATCTTGAAGAAGGAAGGCTATCACTCCATTTTGCAATGCCATGCCATACCCTGTGGACGGCGCTTGATTGGAGCCAATTTCCTCCTACAACAGGACAATGACCCAAAGCACAGCTCCAAACTATGCAATAACTATTTAGGGAAGAATCAGTCAGCTGGTATTCTGTCTATAATGGAGTGGCCAGCACAGTCACCGGATCTCAACCCTATTGAGCTGTTGTGGGAGCAGCTTGACCGTATGGTACGTAAGAAGTGCCCATCAAGCCAATCCAACTTGTGGGAGGTACTTCAGGAAGCATGGGGTGAAATCGCTTCAGATTACCTAAAAAATTGGACAACTAGAATGCCAAAGGTCTGCAAGGCTGTAATTGCTGCAAATGGACGATTCTTTGATGAAAGCAAAGTTTGATGGACACAATTATTATTTCTAACTTTGTCAATGACTACATTTCCTACTCATTTTGCTATATTTCCTATTCAAACTCATTTCATGTATGTTTTCATGGAAAAGAAGGACATTTCTAAGTGACCCCAAACTTTTGTATATAAACTACCAGTCAAAAGTTTTAGAATACCTACTCATTCAAGGGTTTTCCTTTATTTTTACTATTTTCTACATTGTAGAATAATAGTGAAGACATCAAAGCTATGAAATAACACATATGGAATCATGTAGTAACCAAAAAAGTGTTAAATAAATCAAAATATATTTTATATTTGAGATTCTTCAAATAGACACCCTTTGCCTTGATGGCAGCTTTGCACACTCTTGGCATTCTCTCAACCAGTTTCATGAGGTAGTCACCTGGAATGCATTTCAATTAACAGGTGTGCCTTCTTAAAAGTTAATTTGTGGAATTTCTTTCCTTCTTAATGTGTTTGAGCCAATCAGTTGTGTAGTGACAAGGTAGGGGGAGGGTATACAGAAGATGGCCATATTTGGTAAAATACCAAGTCCATATTATGGGAAGAACAGCTCAAATAAGCAAAGAGAAATGACAGTCCATCATTACTTTAAGACATGAAGTTAAGTCAATATGGAAGGTTTCAAGAAGCTGAAGGCTCGAGTTGCCAAACGTCAGCCTCGAAACCTTAATGACTTGGAGAAGATCTGCAAAGAGGAGTGGGACAAAATCCCTCCTGAGATGTGTGCAAACCTGGTGGCCAACTACAAGAAACGTCTGACCTCTGTGATTGCCAACAAGGGTTTTGCCACCAAGTACTAAGTCATGTTTTGCAGAGGGGTCAAATGCTTATTTCCCTCATTAAAATGCAAATCGAGTTATAACATTTTTGACATGCGTTTTTCTGGATTTTTCTGTTGTTATTCTGTCTCTCACTGTTCAAATAAATCTACCATTAAAATTATAGACTGATCATGTCTTTGTCAGTGGGCAAACGTACAAAATCAGCAGGGGATCAAATACTTTTTTCCCTCACTGTATTCCTATTTTGTTGCCTTACAACCTGGAATTAAAATGGATTTTTTGGGGGTTTGTATCATTTGATTTACACAACATGCCTACCACTTTGAAGATGCAAAATATGTTTTATTCTGAAACAAACAAGAAATAAGACAAAAAAACAGAAAACTTGAGCGTGCATAACTATTCACCCCCCCCCCCCCCCCCCCCCCCCAAAGTCAATACTTTGTAGAGCCACCTTTTGCAGCAATTACAGCTGCAAGTCTCTTGGGGTATGTCTCTATAAGCTTGGCACATCTAGCCACTGGGAATTTTGCCCATTCTTCAAGGTAAAACTGCTCCAGCTCATTCAAGTTGGATGGGTTTTGCTGGTGTATAGCAATCTTTAAGTCATATCACATATTCTCAATTGGATTGAGGTCTGGGCTTTGACTAGGCCATTCCAAGACATTTAAATGTTTCCCCTTAAGCATTTTACATTTTAGTCATTTAGCAGACACTCTTGAATGCATACATGTTTTTTTGTTTTGGTTTTTTTTCATACTGGCCCCCCGTGGGAAACGAACCCACATCCCTGCCGGCCAAACCCTCCCCTACCTTGGACGACGCTGGACCAATTGTGCGCCGCCCATGGGTCTCCCGGTCGCGGCCGGCTGCGACAGAGCCTGGACTTGAACCAGGATCTCTAGTGGCACAGCTAGCACTGTGATGCAGTTCCTTAGACCACTGTGCCACTCGGGAGTTGCTTTAGCAGTATGCTTAGGGTCATTATCCTGGTGGAAGGTGAACCTCTGTCCCAGTCTCAAATCTCTGGAAGACTGAAACAGGTTTCACTCAAGAATTTCCCTGTATTTAGCGCCATCCATCATTCCTTCAATTCTGGCTAGTTTCCCAGTCCCTTCCAATTAAAAACATCCCCACAGCATGATGCTGCCACCACCATGCTTCACTGTGGGGATGGTGTCCTCGGGGTGATGAGAGGTGTTGGGTTTGCGTCAGACATAGCGTTTTCCTTGATGGTCAAAAAGCTCAATTTTAGTCTCATCTGACCAGAGTACCTTCTTCCATATGTTTGGGGAGTCTCCCACATGCCTTTTGGCGAACACCAAACGTGTTTGCTTATTTTTTTTCTTTAAGCAATGGATTTTTTTCTGGCCACTCTTCCGTAAAGCCCAGCTCTGTGGAGTGTATGGCTTAAAGTGGTCCTATGGACAGATACTCCAATCTCCGCTGTGGAGCTTTGCAGCTCCTTCAGGGTTATCTTTGGTTTCTTTGTTGCCTCTCTGATTAATGCCCTCATTGCCTGGTCCGTGAATTTTGGTGGGCGGCCCTCTCTTGGCAGGTTTGTTGTGGTGCCATATTCTTTCCATTTTTTAATAATGTATTTAACGGTGCTCCGTGGCAGGTAGCTTAGTGGGTAAGAGCATTGTGCCAGTAACTGAAAGGTCACTGGTTCTAATCCCCGAGCCGACGAGGTGAAAAATCTGTCGATGTGCCCTTAAGCAAGGCACTTAACCCTAAATGCTCCTGTAAGTCGCTCTGGATAAGAGTGTCGACTAAAATGTAAAAAGGTTCTGATCTTTTTTTATAACCCAACTCTGATCTGTACTTCTCCACAGCTTTGTCTCTGACCTGTTTGGAGAGCTCCTTGGTCTTCATGGTGTCGCTTGCTTGGTGGTGCCCCTTGCTTAGTGATGTTGCAGACTCTGGGTCCTTTCAGAACAGGTGTAAATATACTGAGATCATGTGACAGATCATGTGACACTTATATTGCACACAGGTGGACTTTATTTAACTAATTATGTGACTTCTGAAGGTAATAGGTTGCACCAGATCTTATGTAGGGGCTTCACAGCAAAGGGGGTGAATACATATGCACGCACCACTTTTCATTTTTTTGAATTTTTTTAAACAAGTTTCATTTCACTTCACCAATTTGGACTATTTTGTGTATGTCCATTACATGAAATTCAAATACAAATCCATTTAAATTACAGGTTGTAATGCAACAAAATAGGAAAAACACCAAGGGTGATGAATACTTTTGCAAGGCACTGCAGACACTCAGATGAAACCCAGGGCTTAAGACATATAGGGTCTGTTCCAATATGCACACTAACATGCCACTTGAGTTAAGAAGTGAGTAGTATGTAGTGTGTTAGTATTCATATTGGAACACAACCGTAGGGAAGCATCATGTCTTACTTCACATACTGTATCTCTTCCTAGTAGACCTAGCCCCCTAAAAAAGGTTAACCATAGGCAGACATAATATACACAGCTACAGCTATTATCACAGCCCATGGTACTGGTGTTCTTACGACTGTGCTAGCAATAGTAGAGAGCGCCTCTCGCGCGAGCAAGTCTATCCATAATAGATAGGAGAGAGTATAGAGCCCGCATGAGAGCTGAGATTCAATTCTCTCACTCTCTCATCTCTCTCTCTCATCTCCTCCTCTCTCTCTATCTCTCGCGCTTCTCGCTCTCCCTCCATCTACCTATCTCTTTACCATAATATCCAAACAGCTATAATCACTGCCCCTGGTACTGTTTATAGGGTAATGGTTTATAAAGAGGTTAAATAGGCTTGACTCTCTCTCTCTCTCTCTCTCTCTCCCTACCCACCTCTCTCTCTCTCTCTCTCTCTCTCTCCCTACCCACCTCTCTCTCTCTCTCTCTCTCTCTCTCTCTCTCTCTCTCTCTCTCTCTCTCCCTACCCACCTCCCTCTCTCTCTCTCTCTCTCTCTCCCCCTCCTTCTTTTCTGGCATTCTTCCAGATCTTCATTCTCTCTGCCAAATTACACCCCCCTCTCCCGTCTCTCTCTCTCTCATTCAGCCTCCTGGCTAGATCTCAGGGTTTCATATTTGGAGGCCTTGCGATCGATACAGTGTGTCTGTGATTGGGTTGCCACGCGTGATTCATTTCTGTAACCTTGGTGATGGTTTGATGTGGAGGCTGAAACCCTCTCTGTATTATGACTCAGTGAGTGTGTGCAGACAAGAGAGGAAGGAAAAGGAGAGCAGGGGAGGGCAGGGGAGGGGAAAGGTGATGAGAGGAGAGGAGAGTAGGGGAGAGGAGTGGGGGGAGGAGAGGAGAGGAGGGGAGGGGAGAGGTTTCGATTGGCTGTAGCTCGGAGGCGCTTTGCTGCTCCCTGCCCTCCTTACTCTCTCCTCCATCTTTCTCTTTTTATCCCTCCCTCTCTCAGGTGAAATAGTTTGGTGTTGATTTCAAATGATTGTGTGTTTAAAAAAAGTGATTATTTGACCCTAAATGTTCTCTTGGGTGTTTATGTTTATCTCCCCTCTCTTTTTCCCTCTCTCCCTGTCTCTCTCTCTCTTTCTCCCCCCCCCCCCCCCCCCTCTCTCTCTCTCTCTCTCTCTCCCTGTCTCTCTCTCTCCCTCTCCCCCTCTCTCCCTGTCTTTCCCTCTCTCTCCTTCCCATCTATCTCTACTCCAGAACTCCATCCGCCACAACCTGTCCCTCCACACTCGGTTCGTCCGTGTCCAGAATGAGGGTACAGGGAAGAGTTCCTGGTGGATGCTGAACCCAGAGGGAGGGAAGATGGGGAAGGGACCCCGGCGACGCGCCGCCTCCATCGACTGCCCCAACGGCACCAAGTACCTGAAGAGTAAAGGACGGGCCAGGGGTAAGAGACCTGGAGCCGGAGTTGGCAGTGGAGTTGTTGGTCGGGGCAGGCGGCAGGGTTATGGCCTGGGTCAGGGGGCTCGGCCGGGGATGCATCAGGGGTCTCCGGAGCATGGTAGTCCTGCAGGGAAGGCTGGAGTAGGGGTGGGAGGAGAGGAGTACGATGCCTGGACGGATCTCCACTCCCGGACCTCATCTTCGGCTTCGACGCTCAGTGGCTGCCTCTCTCCCATCCTAGCCGAGGCTGAGCCAGATGAGCCAGAGGAGGGAGGCCTATCCTGCTCCACCTCCCCACGCCTCTATCCCAGCCCTACCGCCACTCGTTCCCCTGCCCTGGGCACTGGGGGGCACTGCCCTGGAACCTCCATGGAGCTACCCCAACTCACTGACCTGACTGGGGCTATCAGCCTGGATGAAGGCTACCCCCACCCCCAGAACCATCCCCAGACCCAGCCTCGTAATGGCTACCCCAGCCCCTACGGCCCCGGCCCCAAGGGGGAAGGCTCCTACTGCGGCCTCGTCTACGGGCAGCCGTCCCTGGGAATGCTGCAGCTCCACGCCCCCATGCCCATGCAGACCATCCAGGAGAACAAGCCAGCCAGCTTCCAGCGCCCTCTGAGGGCGTACTCAGAGAACAATGCCCTGCAGAGCCTGCTGACCGGAGGGCCTGGAAGTCCTCAGTACTGCAGTAAGGACATGGTCACACTGGGAGGGCAAGGAGGGGAGTCACACACGCTCCTGACCCAAGTAACCAATGGGGTTCACAGCCACAATCAGAGTCGCAGCAGCCACAATCATAGCCATAGCAACCATAATCATAATAACCATGAGCATGGACACAATTCAGGCCCACACAATGGTCACAGCTCAGTTCATGACCAGAACCCCAGTGGTCATCATCAGAATGGTCTCCACAATCACGGTCACCCCAACCTGGACTACAACCATAGCCACAAACAACACCTCAGCCCGGCCACTGACTACAACCAGAGTCACAACCACAAACTGAACCCAAGCCATGACCACACTCCCTGTTCCAACCAGGGTCACCTCCACGGTCACCTCCAGGGTGGACCCAGACCTCCAGCCCTCCAGGCTCTCTCTCCCAGAGTCAACACAGACATCCTGCAGCCCTACAGCCTCAAAAACCCCACCCCAACCCCTAGCCACTATGGCCCCCTCGCCCCCCACCTCCCCACCACCAACCCCCCGTCCCTGCCCCCCAACCCTGCCTCTGTTCTCGACATACCCCAGGACCCCTGCCTCCGCCTGGCCTCCGCCCCGGCACCTCACCCCCACCCTCGCCATCAGCCCTACCCCGGTACCACCTACCACCAGGGTATAACCATGACTGACTCCTGGCATGGCTACTACCACCACACCCTCCACCCCACCCAGAACTACCAGGGCCACCCCCACCACAGCACTCACCACCCCAGCCGCATGGCTCCAGACCTGGATGTAAACATAGACGTTCTCCCCAGCAGCCTAGACTGTGACGTGGAGTCCATCCTCCTCAATGACTTCATGGATACAGAGGGGATGGGGATGGACTTCAACTTTGACGGCTCCCTTTCTCAAGGAGTGGGCATGGGCATGAGCATAGCGGCTTTCGCTGGAGCGCCACAGGGACATCACAGCCAGAACTGGGTGCCTGGGTGAAGGGGATTGGTCGGGGAAGCCCAAGGGCCAATCAGGACACAGCAGAAAGGCTTTTACCCACAAGGCCGAGCTGCAGGGGTCAGAGGTTAGGGATCAGGGTCGGAGCTTACCCTTGGACTGACTGACTGACTGTGATGCTTAATGCTCCAAGACAAAATAACTGAATATGTATTGTCGTGTTGTTTCCTGAGGGTCCCTTTAACTGTAGAATCTGTATGTTCTCTCATTCTCTCTCTTCCTCTCTCTTTGTTCATTCTCTCCCTCTCTCTTCCTCGCTCTGTGTTCTCTCTCTCATTCCCTCTGCACTCAAGTAGTGCCACAGCACCCTCCCAGCTCTGTGCTATCCCCCTGGTTCATGTCCTTCAGTTTGTCTGCTATACTGTATCACTCCTCTCATCTCTTGGCCATCCATAAGCTCTCAAGCACTTTACATCCGTCGCTTTCAAAACAGATGCAGTATAACAAAGACCAGGGGAAAGTCATAGTCTGTGTTGGCTTAAGTTGAATTTATGCAAACCCCTTTATTATCCATCTCTTCTTATAAAAAAGAGAGAAGCGGTATCTTACTTGAGAACAGGAGAACAGGATCAAACAACTGCATAAATAAATAGGTTCAGCTGGTTGAGATGCGGGTGCTTTTCAGAATGTTTTGCATACGGGTTGGAAGGTAGGGAGGTCAGAGGGAGGAAGAGGGTGTTGGCATCACCAGGGTCAGTGCAAATTCTCCTTCTTCCTCAATAATGGAGGGATGAAAGTAGGCAGGGATGGAGGAATGGAGGGATGGATTGAGGATTGGGGTCAGGAGTTCTCCTTCTCCCTGGTGGTGTCACCCACCATAGATGGATGGAGGGATGGAGGAATAGAGGATAAATAGAGGATAGAGGGATGATGATAAGGGTTGTTGTGTCCCCCAGTGTGGTCCAGGAGGACATCCATCAGACAGCCTTCATTACCAACTAGTTAAATGCACCATCTCCTCTTTAATCTGTAGAATAATGCGATGGTGATGCATCACTATTGCAAATGTAATGTGCTTCTCCCCCCTCCCATTCACCTCCATCTGGACACACACACACACACACACACAAACACAAACACACACACACATTCACCTCCGGACACACTGTGTAAAGGCTTAATGTGTTTTGGCCAAAGTGATGATTAAAGTCACTGTGCACTAAATAGCGGAGGAGGGAGAAATGGAGGGATGGGAGAAGGAAAGAAGAAATGCTAATATTCCCTCTGTGCCTCTTCCTCTCCATTTGGTGGATTTATGTAGCTTTCCCCATAATGAAATAAAGAGCGATCAGGTCCCATCCTCCCTGCCTGCTCTGCTTCCTGAAGAGGGTTCTCATTCAACCCCAGCCTGGCTGCTTCCTCCAGCTGACCAACCGCACAACACAACACAACAGCTTACTCAGTCTAGAGTATGTCCTAAATGGCGCCCTCCTAATTTTGGACCCTATTCCCTTTACACAGCACACATTTTGAACAGAGCCTCTAACAACATCAACTCAATCATCAGTATTCATGGTTAACCATGGTTAAATCTGAAATGGTACCCTATCCCCCAGTGCACTAAAACCTAAGACTCTGGCCAAAAGTAGTGCCCTAGGTTTGCCCGAAGTTACTGTTGATGGACTTGAAGTCCTCAGTCCTTTGACCTCAGTGCAGCCCCCCTTATGCCATCCTCCATTCCACCTCTCACACAGCAGTTTAAAGCCTGACATGTTTTACACTAGTGAATTGGCACACTGATTAACACAGTCAGCAAGATAACAATTATTTGTTGCTATCTCCCCTTCACAGGCCATTTCTTCCTATCCTCCTCTCCTCTCATCTCTCTCTCCCTCTCTCTCTCTCTCTCTCTCTCTCTCTCTCTCTCCCTCTCTCTCTCTCTCTCTCTCTCTCTCTCTCTCAAGCGCACTCTCGCTGTCTCTCTGTCTCTCTCTCTCGCTCACTCCGTCTCTCTTCCTCCTATCACATCCTCTCATTCAGAGGTTAGACGCAGGGCAAACAACAATAATTAACTGGCTAAAGAGATACATTATTTATACTTTTTATTTAATCCAAGTGGTGGTGTTTTTTCATCTCATCTTCATGGCACCAGGTCATAATTCTCTCCCTTCAGAAAGCACGAGGGAGGTTTTTTGAGTTTGAGGTTATGTGCGTCCAGTGAGAGGGAAAAAAAACATTGCTTGAACATTAAGGTCCTCCTCTAGTCTGGTCCCAGATCACATTGTCTTAACGGTACAAAGAGCATAGGAGTTGGCTGGCTATAAACAAACAGATCTGGGATTAGTCTACACTCCTCTCTTCAGATTCCTATCTGTTGCCTCGGTCTGGCTTTACTTTGCTGTTATCTGGTTTGTGGTCGTTCTGTTCTGTGATCGTCAGTGAGGTCCTTTGTCTTGATAGGGTGCTTTGTGTTCGCAGCATTTTTATTCCAAAGGGGAGAGAGTCCTTGAGTCTTTTCCTAGCACCTGCACTGCTCTAGATCGAGAGAGAAAGATTGAGAGGCAGAGAAGGATAAATATTTTTAGGGGAGAGGCAAGAATGGAGGTAGAGGGAGAAGGAGAGAATGAGGCAGAGAAAGGTAGAGAGACGGGGGAGTTTAGAAGGGAGGTAGAGTGAGAGAGAGAGAGAGAGAGAGAGAGAGAGAGAGAGAGAGAGAGAGAGAGAGAGAGAGAGAGAGAGAGAGAGAGAGAGAGAGAGAGAGAGAGAGAGAGAGGAGAGAGAGAGAGAGAGAGGAGAGAGGAGAGAGAGAGAGAGAGAGACTGTGAGACTGATATTTTCCAGCCGAGTAGCTTCCTGTAGAACTGGCCATTTTAATCATGCCAAATGTCAAGTAGTACTCTGCTGGCACCAACACGCTCTAATCAGATAACCATGCCTCTGCTCTGATCAAAGAGGAACAACGACGGGTATCTTCACAGGGTTTTCTCTTCCTTTCATTCTTCCTTTCTTTCTTTTTGACTTGAGATGGCCTATTGTTGTAACCCCAACTGTAATTTTATATCTGGACCCAGCGTGCGTTTGCTTGTGTGTTGAGGTGTGTGTGGTGTGTGTGTGTGAAGCACACATGATGATGTACAGAACTGATTATGGAAATCCATTGCCCTGTAATATCACTTGTCCAGGTCTCCTTCATGCCTGGTGAGGTACTACATACATACATACATACATGCATACATACACACACACACACACACACATATACATACACACATACAGTTTATATTTATTGGTTGAGAAGATGGGTTCTGTGCTGTGGCCCTTTGCCCCCCTCAGTCCCTCATCATCTTTATTACAGAGACATGATGATGCTTCTATTACATTCTCATTCTGTACATAATCTATATTGGAGAAAATTGTATAATACTTTTTTTTGACAAGCAAAATATCAATTTCTTTTCTAAAATGATGTCTGATCACCTATGACTATAAAATAATAAAACAAAAGAGAACAGAGTTGTTTTGTGCCAGTTTATTTGTGTGTGTATGTCTGTGTGTGCACGTGTAAGCCTGCCTGGGTGTGTGCATGAGGGTGTACATGCATGTAAGGGTTGGTGTGAGGTGTGCCCAAGAGCGGTTCAGGATAGACAGTAGGCAGTAGGCAAAGATGGTGAAACAAGGATCTTTACTGGTGGTCCCGAAGCCAGGATACAAAACAACGGACTTAACACGATAAAAGAAAGGTGGAGCAAATAAATCTCCAAAAACAGGCTGACAGCCAAAATACGAAATAGTAACTACAACTGAAATAATAAAGAAACAGGGAGAACACTTCTCGAGTACCCGTACATACTTCTCCGATCAGACACTGATTAGTACTGCTGAGCATAGAGAAAATAGCGGAGAAAATTGAGCAAGGGAACACAGGGAAGTGAGAGCATAAATACACAGGTGAACAGGTAGACACAGGTGACACCAATAGGATCATGATTAGTCCAGACTGCAAGTGAGAAGGTGCCTAAGGTTGTCGGAGGAGGACATCTAGTGGATCGCTCCGGAACTGCGACCCCCTCCTATAACACATGCATGCATGAGTGTGTATCCGCTCGTTCATTCATTTGTGTGTGGGTTTGTGTGTTTGTTTGTGTGTGTGTTTGTGTGTATGTGTGTGTGTGTTTGTGTGTGTGTCTTGCTTCATAGACATACTGCTGTGCGTTAGATGTGCCAGCCAACCCTGGCAGTACAACCCCTGTCATTACAAGCATACTATAGCTGTAAATCCTGAACAGATCAGGAACACATCGCAGCAGTAGAGTAGGTTTCTTGGTGTGTGTGTGGGGGAGTGAGCCAGTAGGGAGTAAGAGAAATGGAGGGATATGTGAGTGCGTGGGCGTAAAATGGCTATTAGAGGTGACTTTCAGTGGGATAAACTCATAACATCCATAAACGCACACACACACAAACATATTAGCTCACGTACATAATAAAAAACAGACCAAAGGAGATGTGTGTGTGGTGGAAGCCAGCAGGTGTAGTGTGTGTGTGTGTGTCAGCCATAAAGCGATGTGAAAGTGCTGACGCTCAGAGAGTCAGATATTATTCTTGGAGCTGAGCGATCCCCTGCAGGTCTACCGATCCCCTGCAGGGAGCTTCATCCCCCAGCCAGGGTGAACCGAGTCAGGCAGACAGTGTGTCCCCGTCCATAGCCCCGTCCACACACATACACACACAGCCCTTCCGGAGCCCAGCATGTGGCCCCTAGCCTCTGGCCTGACTACAACCTGCCTGAGACTCCCCATGGAGCGGCAGTGTGTGAGCGTGCTACTAGCCTAACCTGTCTACTGCGTGATGAGAGAGAGAGAGACAGAGAGAGAGAGAGAGAGAGAAAGAGGGAGAGAGAGAAAGAAAGAAAGATAGAAAGAGGGATAGAGAGATCAGCCTTCACTCGCCGTATTCATCTATATTTCACAGCATTTTCAATTAGTGTCAGTGTGGTTGGAGAGAGAGAGAGAGAGAAAGAGAGAGAGAGAGGCTGATAGAAAGAGACAGAAAAGGAGACATGCCTCTGTGGGCTGTCTGCTCCAGGTCACTGTGTCCTGGTGATGCCCTCTCTCTGTTCCCTTTCTACCCCAGCCGGTGGACTCCTTCCTGGGCAGATCTGAGGCAGGGGGGGGGGGCCTACTACCAGAGAGGGCGGTCCTATACCTGGACCACAATGCTGTCTGGGTAGGGCTAGGGGATGAAAGGAAGGAGACTGGTGGAGGATTAAGGGAGAGCAGGGACAGGGAGGAGACTGGAGGAGGATAAAAGGAGAGCAGAGACAGGGAGGAGACTGGGGGAGGATAGAGGGAGAGCAGAGACAGGGAGGAGACTGGGGGAGGATAGAGGGAGAGCAGAGACAGGGAGGAGACTGGGGAAGGATAGAGGGAGAGCAGAGACAGGGAGGGCACTGGGGGAGGATAGAGGGAGAGCAGAGACAGGGAGGAGGACTGGGGGGAGGATAGAGGGAGGAGAGCAGAGACAGGGAGGAGACTGGGGGAGGATAGAGGGAGAGAGCAGAGACAGGGAGGAGACCTGGGGAGGATAGAGGGAGAGCAGAGACAGGGGGAGGAGACTTGGGAGGATAGAGGGAGAGCAGAGAAGGGAGGAGGACTGGGGGAGGATAGAGGGAGGAGCAGAGACAGGGAGGAGACTGGGGGAGGATAGAGGGAGAGCAGAGACAGGGAGGAGACTGGGGAGGATAGAGGGAGAGCAGAGACAGGGATGAGACTATGGGAGGATAGAGGGAGAGCAGAGAGACAGGAGAGGAGACTGGGGGGGAGGATAGAGGGAGAGCAGAGGACAGGGAGGAGACTGGGGAGGATAGAGAGAAGAGCGGGAGACAGGGAGAGGGAGAGGGGGAGGATAGAGGGGGAGCAGAGATAGGGAGGAGACTGGGGGAGGATAGAGGGAGAGCAGAGACAGGGAGGAGACTGGGGGAGGATAGAGGGAGAGCAGAGACAGGGAGGAGTGGGGGAGGATTAAGGGAGAGCAGAGACAGGGAGGAGTGGGGGAGGATAGAGGGAGAGCAGAGACAGGGAGGAGACTGGGGGAGGATAGAGGGAGAGCAGAGACAGGGAGGAGACTGGGGGAGGATAGAGGGAGAGCAGAGACAGGGAGGAGACTGGGGGAGGATAGAGGGAGAGCAGAGACAGGGAGGAGTGGGGGAGGATAGAGGGAGAGCAGAGACAGGGAGGAGACTGGGGGAGGATAGAGGGAGAGCAGAGACAGGGAGGAGACTGGGGGAGGATAGAGGGAGAGCAGAGACAGGGAGGAGACTGGGGGAGGATAGAGGGAGAGCAGAGACAGGCCATATTACCCACAGTTGTCTAGGTAGAGCAAGGGTGAACAGGAAGGAGGAGAGAGGGGGTATCTGACAATAGAGGATAGAAAGAGAGCAGTGGTAAGGAGGGGGCTCTACTAGGGGACTAGAGATGAACAGGGAGGAAGGGAAGGGGGGAGTATCAGAGGAGAGAGGAAAGAGGAGGGACCTCCCTGCAGCTTGGAGCAGCTGTGATCTGCAGTCACCTGGTTCTCCAGGGTATCCAGTCTGCAGAGAGGAGACATGAGGCCCCAGGCATAATCCCAGGCTATTCACAGCAGCCATATGCCCGGCTAGGGAGGAGTACAGACTATGGATGAGGCCCTATGTTACCGTATGACTGGGAATCAATGGCTGGGGAGGAGAGGAGACAGAGACCAGAGAGGGACTGAGGAGTGTTGTATTATGGGGTTAGGGTTAGGAAGCCGAGAGAGAATGAGGAGTGTTGTGATATGGGGTTAGGGTTAGGAAGCCGAGAGGGACTGAGGAGTGTTGTGTTATGGGGTTAGGGTTAGGAAGCCGAGAGGGACTGAGGAGTGTTGTGTTATGGGGTTAGGGTTAGGAAGCCGAGAGGGACTGAGGAGTGTTGTGTTATGGGGTTAGGGTTAGGAAGCCGAGAGGGACTGAGGAGTGTTGTGTTATGGGGTTAGGGTTAGGAAGCCGAGAGGGACTGAGGAGTGTTGTGTTATGGGGTTAGGGTTAGGAAGCCGAGAGGGACTGAGGAGTGTTGTGTTATGGGGTTAGGGTTAGGAAGCCGAGAGGGACTGAGGAGTGTTGTGTTATGGGGTTAGGGTTAGGAAGCCGAGAGGGACTGAGGAGTGTTGTGTTATGGGGTTAGGGTTAGGAAGCAGAGAGGGAATGAGGAGTGTTGTGTTATGGGGTTAGGGTTAGGAAGCCGAGAGGGACTGAGGAGTGTTGTGTTATGGGGTTAGGGTTAGGAAGCCGAGAGGGACTGAGGAGTGTTGTGTTATGGGGTTAGGGTTAGGAAGCCGAGAGGGACTGAGGAGTGTTGTGTTATGGGGTTAGGGTTAGGAAGCCGAGAGGGACTGAGGAGTGTTGTGTTATGGGGTTAGGGTTAGGAAGC